GTACATCTTTAGAAATTCGACGACAATTCTTTATATTTTCGGTACGTACGGACAGAATCGGTTTGGATGTTAGAAAAGCGTAATGGACGTTGATATCGTGTGATTAGGAATGACTTGCATCCACGAATCGATGCGATTCCCACAGTGGGTTCCAATCAGGATACCCGTTCCGTTTGCCGTGCAAACGTTCGATCGCCTGGAAAATAACGAACGCACAGGTTAACTTTGGGATATTGTCTCGGTATGAAACCGTCGAGGAATTCCCTGAAAACCGCAACCAGGTGGCCAGAGACTCGTCTTCCTCTTCTGTACTTTTTTTTCCTCAGCTGTGTGAAATTGATTTAGTCGTGCACCAAAGAGGAACCGAGGAGGACGCAAAAAAGGATCGATGGCTCCTGGCAGCGGAAGCTCTCATCGATATCGTCCGCTTATTCGTTTCCGAGTTCCCAGGAGTCGAGTTCTGTGTGTCGGTGATTACCATTTTGTGGTTGAGCGTTTCCTCCTTTTTTTTTTTACACGAACACCTGACACAATTATACCATCGAACGCTAAAACAGCAGATAAACCAGTTATAATGGTAAATTATTCCTGGAACAGCCTGTATATAATAACGCCAGGCCAGCGTCGTCGAGCGGTACTGAGCATAAAAGGCAGATTTGCATATCAATTATTTGCTGCCTACACACCGTGCAATATTATGCTTCGATAGTCCACGTACAATTCCAGACAAATATTGTCCCTTTACCACCGTACCACCAAACCCACCCACGGTCATGTGTTCCGCTGGGATGGAACTATGAACTATCACGCCCAGTTCCCGACCGCTCGCGTCCTTTCATGCCCGTTTTCAAACATCATTCGATCGCGGAGGATCCACAATCTTTTTGATTTCTGCATTCTTGAAGACTTCTGTGTCTCACGGAACGTAGGGAATACGATTTCGTTACGAGATTATCTTTTCTGCGTAACACCGAACGATTGCACCGTCACCGTGGAACACGAGAGGAATTTCTCCGTTTAGAGGCGATGAGAATCGCAATCACTTCCGGGAACGTTTCCTCCGACTCGGCATGGCATACACCACACACACACACACACACACACACACACACACCGCAGACGATTGTCTTTCCTCGCGGTGTCCCGGGCTGTTTCCTCGTTCGCCGCCCTCTTAACGACCGATTACGATCTACCTGTTGTCTCGAGGGTGAGGTGGCCGCCCTCGTCCGCGCCTCCGAAGGGCAGCTGGCCCGGCTTCACGGATGGATCGATCGATCAACGGGCGCGAACGTGATCGCGATACGTTAATATACGTCAATTGGCCGTCTCCTCGGTCACGCCTATGCACGTGCGGTGCTCACACACTCGCGAGCACAGCTTTTATGGGAACGTGCTCGATTCTACGATTGGCTTCGTTTCTCCATTCACGATAACTTCTGGGGTAAATGGCTTAAATACTTGCCAAATGATGTAACAAATGTACTAATACACATGGGTCGAAAAATTAATAGGTATTTTCAAAATTATAAACAATTTTCGGTTTCAGTTAAAATGAATGACTTTCTCGGTTCCAGAGCTATCGTACCGTATGCAATGGAACAAATGAATCATCCTTATTGTTTCTTCTTTTCCTGGTTACAGAAGGTTTTATACAATTTTTATTAGCATTTTTACAATGCTCTTCATTGCTTCCATACGCGGTACAATAACTCCCGAACCAAGAAAGTCACTCGCTTTAACCGAAACACAGCAATTCTTCATATTTTTGAATATATTCATTTTTCCATTCATGTTTATTCAAACTTTTTTCATCATTTAGGAAGTACTGTACTATATCACACGCGAAAGAATCTACATACCTATACTCTGACTCCATAAAATCTCTTTCTGACGTTATATGTATATGTATGTACAAAATACGACGAACTTACCCTGTGTGCATTAAAGTCGTAAGATCCTACGAAATGAGAGTTGGGACAATGGACCCCCAAACACGAAACGAAACTCATAGCCTCGGACGGTGTGTCGGCGATGGGAAACGTAGCTACTCTCGCCCATCTGAACGCCTCTAACATCCTCTCTCTTTGTGTCTCTCCTAATGGATCGCTGACTTGACACACGCACACACACACACACACTTTCCTGATTCTGTAGCAAACCCGAGGACGAGGAATCTGGCGGTTTTGATAGCGCGGCTGTCGTCGAACGGATGATAGACGACTTCTCCCAGCGGGCCTGCAAAAGTGAGCAGGCTTCGTTCAAAGACGACAAGACCGGTGTTTTTTCCCCGTGTCACTCGAGTTACCGTGATTAATGAACGCGTATGTGTAGCGACGAGAATCGAGAGATCGGAGAATCTATATAGTACACCTACATACGTATATGTACCTATACTCTTTGCTCTTTGCTCTTCGCTCTTCGCTCTTCGCTCCAATTACTATATTTCCGTGAATCTACAAGAATCTTTACAGATGATTTTCGTTCGAAGCAACACTTACGCGCTATTCGTATTCAGAGAAAACCACCAATCGCAAAAACTCAAGGGTTTCCTTTGAAAAAGAAGAAATCGTTCTCGCCTCTGAAATATCCCCACAGTTATTCACAGGTCGACAGACGTCGAGTTATCTAAATCCGTCGTCCATTCACGGTCTCAAGCCTGTACTTCGGTGTCCATTTCATTCGGGCGAAATTCTCAGACAAACATGTACTCGATGCAGCCGAGATTAGAGCTCGATGTTCTCGAGGAACGTCTCTTTCCCCCATACCGGAATAATTGCCGCTTTCCAGAAGAGCGAGGTTCTTGTCGGTCCTTTCGTTTCGCCAGTTCACACAGGCCATCATCGTCTACCAGTCTACCACCAAAAGAACGAGTCCCTTCCTCCCTCTTTCCTCCCCATCTACCACCGGTCATGCTCGACCTTACAGCGGCACACATAGGGATTAGAGGAGAGCGAAATGAGCTGACGTTGTGGTCGGTCTCGGAATAAGGAACACTTTTTAGGCTGCCTGCCCTCCTAATGATTTCCTGAGAGCCCTTTTTTACCTTCATTTCGTCGCGAGGTGTAAATTGACTGACGCGGAGGAATTCCACCTTGTCACTGGTTGCTCGAGAAACCCGCTCGGGCTCGAGGACGCGATCGTGGGAGATCGAGAATGAAGAAAAGTTCGCTGGAATGAAGGTATGTATAAGTATACAAAACACTGAATGATAATTTAATTGTCGCAACGCAATACGTTCGCTATCAACGTCACGTAACGTACATTTGTTTCAAATTTCAGAAACCGTTTGTCATATGAGTCATATCTCGTTTGGGTATCTTTTTATTAATGCCCAATAAGAAGGATGAACGGTTTCCGAATAAGATGCATGGTATTAAACGTATACAATAGGGGATGATCTGTAAAAAACCAAAGATCAACAGAATCTATATCTACTTTGAAACAGATTGCTACCCGTAAGAGGCCAAAAGGGGTTGTTTCGGGTAGCGAAAGTTTCATCGAGCGTACGAGGGGCTTGAAAATACAGGCAGGAATGGAACGAAGAATCAAAGAAGAAAAGGGGGCTGTATTTTGGGCAGCTTAAAATCAAGTTTATCGTTAAACTATCTCGGGATCTGTCGAGACAACAAAGCGATTCGTTACGAGTTAGCGAGGGTGGAATAGTATCCTCATTCGGTTGATTAGAAAAAGCATCGAATCGTGTAATCGAATGGAAAACGATCGATCTTTAAGAATCCTTTCCCTTACAACAGTACAATCGAACACGAAGCTAAAGTTTAATCATTGTGTTTGAATCGTAAATTGTGCATTGGATTTACGAGGTGTCCCCACACAACTCAACGGAGCTAAGCCTGAACCTCTAATCTTATCTACATCGGGCTAAGCTTTCGCTTTCAAAAACAAAGTTCGTCGACTCTGAAAGGATTCTTTCTTCCAGGAATAATAAACGTTTATTTCTATGTTGACTCTATTGCAACATCGGGTCCCCGTAAGTACACACAGTTTCAGAGATTCCTGCATTGCAGCCTGATTGTGAGAACAATTTTCTACTTTTTCCCACATTCGTTCCTCGAAGCACGAGTTTGCCTCGCTTCGCCATGAAAAATTAAATAACGGTGTAATACTGTTTCTTCTTTTTTCCTTCTACTGGAAGTGCAACGAATCGCGTTTGACAACGATTCCGGAGATTTTCTGATGAAAATACACAAGACAGGCGCCGCTCGATCTTCGCAATGACTCAGGATAAAAATGATGACCGTCCTTCGGGTCAGTATACCTGAGCGCATGAAGTTCGACATTCCTTCGGGATGAGAGATAGCAAGGCGTGACTCATTGTCAGACAAAAAACCTGCGACATTGTGATCGAACTGGTGCAACTGAGCAATTCCATTGATTAAGTAACACTCCAATAATAAATATATCCTCTGGATAGTACCTATTAGTGCTAGCAATGCTACACTGTAACTCGTGCAAATGCCTCTGCTATAAATAAAAATTATTTGATCAATGGCTAGGAACGAGACAGCACTCACGAAAGTTGAACGTAAGAATAGCTAGATACGAATAGACGACTTCACTTCTAAAACGATTAACAAAAGTAGAATCCCATTCTACTGGAACTACTTATAGAATCGTCGTATGCATTATGGTATTTGCACGAACAATGGATCACACAGTGTTGTCTTTTCATCGACGATTAGTTTTTACTTATATGTATAATTGCATCTCAATCTACAATATTTCATTCAAGCAAAGAATGATTCACATCGAAAACCACTATGTCCGCCAACTGCGCACATGCAGCCCTTTTAAAAAATGTTACTGGAAAAAATGAATATCGTGTCGAAAAAACCTAATTTTTTCAAACAAACGCGTTTTTTCATCACTTTTGTTTTTCTATAATTAGTATACATATAGATAATTAATATTAGTCTATTCTACAGCACACTCGATTCCGATCTGTCATCAGTTGTCAATTGGTAATAATAAACGGTACTCACTTTGACTGTAAATCGCGTTCGCGATGACCAACAGCACAAGCGTCCTCCTAAGTTTTGTCGTCCTCATCCTTCGATTTCTCTGATGTCACTGTCGATCGTACGAAGATACCTTCCACGATCGATCGGCCGAACGAAGAACGAAATGTGCTGTTCATAAAGGAAAACCGAAAGAAAAGAAAAAGGTTTCGTCCAAATCAGGATACGTCCGACGAGAAGATCCCGAAAGCTCGGTTCTGAGCAGTAAGCACGCCTTTTTTCAGTGAGAAGGGTGAAGGCACTTCCCTCCTCTCAGTCTTCCTCCCTTTTTTCCTCTCTCTTGTTCCGTCCCTCTGAATAGCGCACCGTGAACCGGAGCGTGCAGCACAGCACTTTCCACGAGTATTACCGAGAAGGAACACCGAGCAAGAAATACCGTTTGATACGGTTCTCTTTCTCGGAAGCTTCGACTAATCTTCTACCCCGCGGCTCTGAAAGATCTTTCCGGTTTTCCGGTCGATAATCAGCCACGAATCGATTGCTATAAAACAAAAGAAATCGATTCAAGCTAATGGTCATGCACGATTAAACCGCGAGTTCCGCTTTCGTCTTCCGTACGATTAGTGCTGTTCAGTTATTGCGAGGTCACGTTGTTTGTACCAGTGTCACGGGAGGTGAACTACAACACCAACACCAACGGCAGGGGGTTGAAACCGATGAAAAGAATCAAGACAAGATTCCCGCGAACCTCACCGTGTCGCGGTTCGCAAACGAATGCCACTGAAGTTGCCGCCGCTCGCACGGTCACTCTTCCGAATTCCGTCGCCGCATAGGTGTGCGTGCGCTTCTACCCCCCACGCCTCTGCCCCACTACCTCCCATATGAATTTAGTTATCCCCACTATTTCGCAGTGCTTCTCTGTTGCGCGCACCGTCTTCCCTGGTCTTACCTCCACGCCGAGCTGCCGAGCCGCCGAGCCGCTAGCCATGCCCCATGCCAATCATGCCATGCCTCCATCCACTGTGTGCAGCTGGTGTGCAGCATTCGATTAGCAATGGATCCGATCTAATTTCAAGATTCCTGACATGTTCACTACCTGAATTTTCAACTACCGCGATAACATCGAGACAGAACAATCCTATTAAAGTCGCTTGAAAGCAGTTGATTAAATGTTTGCACGTTTATAAATGTGATTGTTTTTGACACAGTGGACTACCATACCAGTGAACCAGTTCTCCGAAATACAATTTTACTTACTTTTACTTTTCTCCTGTTCAAATTTCCAATACACATTATCTGTACAGTTCGGCGTTATAATTTTGTTCTCGAGCAAAAGGCTTGCACACGCGGTGTCAGCTTGTTTCCATCTCTACTTTCCATCGGTCTCGGATCCGGTAGGTACTTATATCCTCGCTTCCTTTATCCCCACTGTATCTGGCTGAACGCGTGTGCGGTCGACGCATCAATTACATCTGAATCGAAGGCGGCATCTTATCGCGATTACGCCGCAAAAATAAAAGCTGGCCGGCTTTCGTCAATGAATTCGAGTGTACTGGCCTGCCTGCGCGTTTACATACCGACAGAATCATCTAATAATCGTTACCTAATTGTATGTATATATGTGTGTCATAGTCTATGTGTATATATTCTGCTTAGAGGAATGTGAACTACATTTCACTTTACTTAAACCTATGACAGCTATTAAATTTCGACTGGAAACATACAGGAACAGTGTCAGATTAATTGCATTATCAAATGTTCCACGAATGAGGTGAACGTCATAATGGAATTTGCAGAGTTCCGTGTAATGTGCGTGCATTATAGCGTCTCGTTGTTAATTAAGTATACGAACCACGCGGCCGCGCGTAAGACTCACGATTTATGAATGATTCGGGTAGAGTGAATGAACGTGGAGGGCGCATGCGCGCTGTCGGTCGACCAGATTCCATTCCCATTCCGATCTCGCTTCTATTCCCATCGCTTTATCCTGTTGCTGGTTTGTACGTGGGTGTACCGCGGAACACACAACAGTTTGGAACCCTTATCAAACCTTCAAATAGATTGTGGAATGTTAAAGCATCAATTAAGAACACGCACTATGTATGCTCTCTCACCGGTACAGAATATTTCCACAACCACGACCACGATGACGACCAAATTAGGCTGGCACGACACGAATACGATTTCGGTTTACGGCAAACAACGTGTTTCCAGAACGCCGATATTTAACAGACTCTTCCCTGGTCCTAAATGATCGTATTTCTCACGCTAACGCAGCACAATATCTGCAACCGTAATAGATAGCACATTTAAATTCATTTAAAGATGTACATTTCACTTTTTACATTGTACCGAATACTACCTTCATAAGTGCGACAATAACCATAACTGTACATTCTGTTGGCCAACCCCGGACGAATGACATTCAAAAGGAATACATAGTGCGTTCAATATTCAGTGGCATTTTCGCCTTTTGACTGTCAGCTGCGAATTTTAAAAGGGAGAGCGGTATTCACGGCTTGTACCGGCAAGTTGTAACCTGCTATTGTATCCGTTCGATGCATTTCAAATTTCATTTCCTTTGTATCGGCATGCGAGCCTTGCAATATACAAAACAGCGAATCTTGTAGACATTTGTTGTTCTGTAACGATCGAAATGTGATATTAAACATTATTAACAATTAAAAACAATCGTTTTAAAAAGCATTTACAGGGTAAAACGTTTATGCTAGGTTTATTAAATGTTCTGTCCCGCAAAAAGGAAAATTCTTATTAGGTTTGAACTTTAAAATTCTGACCGGGTAGGACGTGGTAGGACGTCCAAATTGCAGAAAATTTGTTGTATTCCTTTCGGATAAACAGATAACTCTGTCGGACAGAGAATAATTCGTTGCTGAATACTAATGGTGTACACGCGAAGAGACGTTTCAAGGAAATTGTGTAGAGATCGGTCGGGAAGATAGGGAGATCTTACGAATCTGTACCTTCCAAAAGCGATTGTATCTTAGAAATCCTCGTGGGGATGTAGCCCCTGTCGAGTGTTCATTGTAAAAACGATTCCGAGTCAAGTACATAATATTTATAATCCATGATGTTCAAATACCTACATGTATTACGCTAGATGGCACATACGTATATGCAATAGAACACTGAAACTATTTTCTTTCATAGAAAACATCATTATCCGACAATAATCTCGGGAAAATGTGCCACAACCACAGCTGGCTACCTCATCTCTGTTTCTCTCCGTCCTTTTTCCACCTCTGTTATTCCTCGGTCTCCATTAAACGTGGTTGGCCTCCTCGAGGCAGAATGAAAGGGCAAGTATTTGCCGAACAATTTCCCTCTGCGAATAATGGTTAACCCAGAAACCCACAATTCCATCAAACGAAGATTACTTCGTCCTTTCGAATGCGCCGAACGTTTCTTCCTTTTTCTTCTTTTGCATAATCTACTCAAAGAAGTGGGTCGTTTCAGCCACTGATTATAACAGTACGTATACATTAACCAACGGTGGATTAATATGTTTCGCTCAAGTATAGGTAGATACCCTGTAACGTAATAGTCGAGAATAGTATATAAGAATAAAAATATTTCAGCGCATTAATAATTATTACCTATATGTATATGTATATACTTAATAATGACGGGGAATGTTCAACAGACTACATAATGTTCGAGTGATTAAACTGACCTGCTTGTATGGTATTTATTAACGTGTTACGCAGCCTATAGTTAGTTATAAGGTTCATAATAAAGTAAACATAGGGCTCCTCTTGTTATACCTTGAAAGCAAAGAACATCTGTTATATTCGAGCCTTATCTAAAATTGTTTTAACGCCCTCTAAAACTCATTAAGTCAGTTGGGTCAAGAAAATCAGATTAGGCTAATATGTAATGCGCGTATCTAACTACATAAGGGCAGAGGTTGATACACGACGATGTATACGTATGTATGTACCACATTATTCAGCCAGCAGACGTAGACATACATTTTACTTAAAATACAAAATCATCCTTCAAACTATGTACCTACATATTATTCCGAACATATTGTTATTTCTATTTTAATCGTCACATTCGAAGTAACAAGACAAAAAACTAAAATCTCTATATTTATTGAGCCAGAAAATGTATATGTCGGAAAGGTAATCTCGTTAATTAAGCTAAGACGAAACGCGATATGTGCCAATTACATTTTAATGGAGGGGGTCACGGTGAAGAACGCACCGTAACATAACTGTTCGTTAAGAAACTCGTCGCCCACGTTAATTGGGAAGTTACCGTCGAAATTGTTAACACGAGCATAAAGTAACCTTGATCGTGGTGAAGCATTTTAATTAGTTCGAGTCTCACGACAATTAAATGAAGAATGTTTGGGAACGTTTGTGGTGGCGGTACGTAACGGATACGCGATTTAGAACATCCTGCGAAATGGGAAAAGGTAGTGATTACCTACCAAAAGGAAATGTTCGTTATCGAGCTACGCAAATTACAATTCAACGAAAAGATAGAGATTTGCGTAGCACAACTCTATACGGAAGTTAATTGGGTCCTTTCATGGTCGTCTACAGTGAATAATCGCAGCTAGCCTCGAGCTTCTCAACGATCGACCTATTTTTCTATTCGCTCTGTTTACATGTTTTGTGCTCGAGGCAAACATCGTAACAACACTTTTCCCAATTACTGCAATCCTCATCAACGTCGCAAGAAATCGGCGGCGAGTACCAATCATAAGTCCGCGGACAGTGGGTTCTCAGCGGTGGACAATGTTTCTCAACCGAGTGAAATAAAGGGAATTCAGCAGCAGCGGCGATCCACAGCCACGGATACAGAAAAGAATGCCAACCGTGTTCCATCCAGTTATTCTGTTTCCCCGATGGACAACAATAGTATCGACGATCGGTTGTCCGACACCAATATCTGCAAACGGCACCATGGTGTTCCGGATGTCCTTTCGCCCAGCAAAGGTAACAGGCGAAAAACAGAATCGTGAAAAGGTAATGCATCCTGAAACGGTTATATTCACGCGTCATTTGCGTTCTATTCTTATTATTTTCATTTCGTCCGCTCCATTTTGGTTAAATTTGAATGGTAAGTGTTGGTGTTGATATGTATTTAAAGATAGCATTGATGGTTTATCCGACTGTTCGAATTTGTCTCGAACATGTACGAAGCTGTTTGTTCGCGAACCCACCACTATGCATAGCTACCAAACCTAGATAGCACATGACGCCTTAAAGACGGCTTAAAGGCGCCACAGATCTAAAATAGCCGTAAAATAGGTGTCTTCAAGACATTATGTGCTATCTGGATATTGTTAGCTGTAATATCTGCAAAACCGCTTTCTACCAGTGTGACATAGTATAGTTGACACTACTGTATAACACTGTATATTTATGGAGTATTATAGTATAGAATTCACGTACCTTCACATAAATGGAGCAATTTGAGGTAGAGTTTCGTGCTCGCTTATTTTCAGGCTTGCATCGCATCTGAGACTGGTACCGGCTAGCAACCATTCTTATAAGCCAGAGAAACTCCTCTTTCTTAAAATTTCATTAACGCACAATTGCCAATTATCATATATGCCTCTTCGGCATTTTGTTAAGAAAGTTCAATATCCCGAAACGTCGAAATGTCATTGCCGAGGCTTCAGAGAGAAGAACAGAAATTTAATGACGAATAAACAAAATCGCTTTCCGTAGAAAATTACTACCGTGCATAAGTCACGGCTGTAAACTGCAACCACAAGACAAAACACGAATATTTCACGTAAAATAATTTCCTCATTGTCTCGTACGTGAGTAGTTATCTGATCTTTTACTTTGCACAAATCACGTTTCAAAAGTTTTCTGTAAGCAGAAATAGCTGAAAACCTTTTACAAAGCTTCACGCAGCAAATAATGTATCTCGATTAACAGAAGATTTGAATTTAAATATACCTACTGGTGTGTCTACGTTCTTAAATGCATCATATCTACATATATCAAGTGTTACTAAATTCCTGGAATACGTTACCAAGAGTCCAAATTCAATGAACCAAAATTTCTTATCGTTCTAAGAACTATCTATTTATAACTGTATTGATTCAAAGTGTTAGTACTAAATATTACACAATTATGAAGCAATCGGTAATTATGAAACGATTGGTAAATTAACAAACAAGAATATTCAATCAATCAAACTGCCACTATACAGGAGAAATATCGCGTCGACATTAATAGCAAGACAGTACTCTAAAAATAACGACCGTTAGCCGTTAGATTTGTTTCATAGCCTGAACATTGCAACGTACGAACGAGTTTGAAATTAATTGTCCATAGAATTTAACCATACATACACGTATAATATATTTATTTACAACATTGGTGTGCATTTAATGAAAAATACGTACATCAGACTATTCGTTCAATTCTTCCAAATCGACATCATACACCGACAATTGTCCTCTGTAACGTTTTGAATTATCACACATGATGCATGTAATTTCTTACACGCAATGGTACATACATATGTCCATATAGGCAAACAAAAAAAATTGTGCTGCCATCTACGAAAAAGTGTCCAAGCTACTGACCAAATACATACAGTGACTCAATCACAGCTTCTATAGGACACGACACAACAATGGCATCCGTAATCTTATTGGTCTTATTATATCTGTAGTCTCTGCCAAACCTCTTGTACCAATTTAGATAGCTATCTTCTAACCTTTTGAGGTGAAAACGCTTTTCTTTAAAAAAATCAATTACATATGTACATACATACTATTCAAACAAACAAGGGGTAATCGCTATGGAATAACACTGACGTTTAAGTTTTCAATAAATAAAAATCCACCGGAGCTGATGTTTAAATCATATTCTTATATGTAAATTGTAGTTAAAATTTCACCACAGACGACGTACATGAATAGACATGCTATCCAATGCTTTTTCGTGACCAGATTTTGAGGGGTCCCAAGTAGGGTTGAATCGATACCACCAAGGTATCGATACTTTTACTCATAACTACTTTTGTATGAAGGTATCGATACCTACTCGGTATCGAATTATATTTTTCTAACCTTGATACCCAACACAAAAGTTGTTTCTGCGTTGAGTGGAGAAGGGATACAACATACAACACCGATGTAATACCTCCACCCACTACAGCCGTAAAAGAATCCCTCGCCAATAGCCCCATTAGAAAGAGAGACAGCTACTCCAGCTATTGCCCTGTCTCTCTTGTGTCGACTTCAGTCCTCCCATAAGGGCGCGCAATCTATTATATGGATATGTCTATGTGCATTGTATACCATGAAGTATTACGACCTAATAAGAGGGAACTCTCGTTGAAACTTGGCGACTGTGTCAGTTTACCGAAGTGGGGTGGACACACAACTATTTCGACCGTCGATGTTCGTCGACACATAATGAACAGTCACGAATGCTTACGAAGCGTCCTATCATACGAAGAGTTTCTCAGAAGCGAACGAATCAGAAAAATCGCCGAATAGTGGGACAACGTTCTTGCCAGAGAATTTCTGTGTTGCGCAGCGAGGATAGAATGCGAGCATATCGTTTCAAGGAAGTGCAAGGAAGGCACGTCTTCTCGAAAGATGCGAAGTAGTTAACAGTGGTTAGCGCGAGTGTTGGCTTCGTTGGCTTGTTCATTCTTCTCTCTAGACAGTGATACGCATATATGAGTGATTGTACCAAGCAGCCAGTGCGGTGCACTCGGCGCAGTAAAATTGTTCGCGAGTGTCCTCGGAATCGTGTCGTATTGTGTGGTGTCGCGCGAAGGTCGTGAACATTTGTGAGATTATTCGAGAAGCTTGCCCATCCGGAAGCACGTTACGAAAAGGTTAAAAGGAAAGGTGGACGATCCTCCTTGGAAAGCCTCGGTAAAATGGCGGTGATCGGTACTCCGATTGGCGCTAAGCGATAGAAGAGGATCGCATTCCGATCACGCTCTCCAAATTTTGTTTTGATCCAGTTGGATAGGTATCGTCGTTGAAACCGGTCGATTCGCGTTATCTCCGATCATTTGGTTTCATTCTCTCGTCGCCCTATCCCTTCCTTCCCTCTTGTTTTTAACCATATAACTACGAAAAATCTTGAACGGCGTCCCATTCACGAGTATATATCATCCAATCAAGGAGGATCAAGGTGGTAAGGGACCACCGACGGAAACTGTTCTAAACGGCCGCGATGCCGCATCGTTCCAACCTCGAATTTTTCGAACGGCCGAACGACAAGGACAACTCTATAAAATCCTCGTCGGCTTATCTGTAGGTGAGTCTTGCCACGAGTGCATCCTCAATTTTCACCTATCCACCTATTCTAAATAAGTACGGTGTTGCTTGTCCCGTCAACGCCGTCCCAAATTTTCAGCCATGAGCCATACTCGAGATTTCACCGTGAAATCATCCCGAGCACGTCTATTCTTTGTTGTTATTTTGTCCATCTCGAGCGAGTCGGAGTTAGGTTAGGCCTTTGATATCGATGACTCTGCATCTTAACGAGTAACCAGGTTGTTTTCGTTCCTATCGCCCTTCTAACGGTTCTCTTTCGTCGAATGTCGAGATGCTTGAGCTTTCTTGCTCTTTCTTGCGCTTTTGACGCATATACTACTTATTTATCCTCCGCTTCTTTTTCGGTCGAGGTCACCGATGCATTTCCTTATGCAGTCTTTTTAAAATAATAACCGTCCGCGACGTCAATGATACATTTTCTCATGGTTTGTTAGACTTTCTCAAGCTCGAGGTTTGAAACAACGTTGATACCGCTTTAAGGATACAATGTCGCAATTTGTTGCGTCTATATTGGGATTCTTTTTTTAACTGATAAAGATTGCTTCTTTTCGTATTGCGATATGTCGTCTGGTTAATCAGGTTTCACCAACTTTTTCGGACACATGTACGAGAAAATTTTTTACGGGTATTGATGGAAACAATAGTTCTATTTTTAGTCGTATTATTACCTTTGTGAAACGGAAAATTTGTATAACCACTTTGAAATTAATTCAATCATTTTGCTCATACAAAAAATAACGTCTTTTCATTTATTAGAGAATATTTTCCTGTAATGATGAAATATATCTCAGAACAGTAATTCTAGAATGTAATTTCTTTGTACTTTCAATTATGATTATTTCACAGTTCTTCAAACAAAGCAGCTAATTTTGAAAAGTGAAAACCTCATACAGTGTAACTTATAGAAATATATTTAAAATATAAATGTTTCATAAGTATGTAATTTTATTATACATATGTACATGTAAAAGGTTACATTGTCATGTTACTTTCTTTATTTGTAAATGCACATTAGTAATGAAAGATTTCCTTTGTGCATCGTAGTAATTGGAAAAATTATTCTGAACTATTAACCTTTTTGATTTTATATTGTATTATTAGTACTTTTGTATTGTTTGTTAATAGTTTGTATGTATTTCAGATTTTAAATTTACAAAGGAAGCTTTTATCTGCCAAAATGAAAATTGACAGAAGTAGGTTGAAAAAGTGCATTTCTGAAGCGGTAGGTGCTTTTAAATTATTAAGTCAACATATTATAGATAAAATCTTGATTAAATGAATCATATAAAGGTTTGAGTGTTTTAATATACTATATTAACAAAGTACTTTGTTTTCTTTTAGCCGGCAGAATGTCAGGCTCTTATAAATAAGCTGCGTTCATGCTCCCATGCAGAATTGCTGGAGGAGCTGAAGCAAATAGATGCATGGACCTTTGGAAAATGTGAACTGTTCCATTGGATTGATGTATTGGATCTTAATGACAATATTTTGGAAGAAGCTGCTGCAAGAAGTCCCGACAATCCATGGGAATTAGCTTGTGATCTTCCTCAAAACAGAGAGGTATAATGAATTACCACAATTGTGTGTGTGTGTGCGCATATAACTTTGGATTCTTCACTTCACAACATTATTGATTGAACACTCATTCTCACGGCATTTGTACAACAGTATGGAACATCTGGTGTCCTTGTTATCAAGCTGTGATATGCATGTTGTTCTCGGTGTTCTAAATCTTCTCTACATGTTCAGTAAACGTAGTAATTTCATTACACGTTTAAACAGTGATAAAAGACAAGCTTTAATAAGTAGACTTAATCATCTGGCTGAGGTTGGTGTATTTTAAGATATGATTTTTTATAATAGTCATACAACATGAGAATTTCTTAAATTCCCTTGTCTTTCAATTTTAGAGCTGGGGTGGAAAAGAAAATGGATTTGGTTTGGCAGAATGTTGTAAAGAATTTCCAGACAAGGTAATCAAAATTTCATGCAATCTACCCTGTCTCATTTTGCTCAATATGCATATGTATATAAATATATATAATATTACTGCTTTTTCATAATGTTTTAGCCACTTCCAGCAAGTGCTACGACATTACATTTTGAATTCTATGCAGAGAATTCAAACACAGACACAACGGGTACCGTGGTGAACACTGGTACAAAAAAACTTGGGCAGACAAATTTTGTAACGTATATACACATAGAGAATGTGGATAAACTTGGTAAAACACCAGCACAAATAATGAATGATTTATTAAAAGTCTATAATGTACCTCAAGATCGACAGGTAAATATGGAAAACCAAAGAAATAAATAATAAGGTGAAAAAAGAAATAAATAAGGATCCACATTTCTATTTTAGATGGCGCTGTTCACACACATAAGACTGGCACACAGTTTTTCCGACTACCGAAGACGTTTACAATGTGTGCAAGCTCGGCTGCAAGCGTTGTCAGTACTTGTATATAATAATGCGCTTCAGGAAAATGCAGATAGTTTGCTGCATGCTGGGCTTTTAGAAGAATTAGTAGAATTAATGGAACTTCCGCACGCACATCTTGTTGAGATGCGTGCAGCAGCATTGCGGACTCTTACTAGTATCATTCATTTGGACCGTAATCCACATTTTCCAAAGTATGCAAAATGGAAACGATTCTGCAGAGATTCTTCCAAGATTTCACGGTCATAAGTCACACTTACTTGTAATTATATTTTCAGAAAACCTGGTTCACGGTTGAATATGATAATCGATGTTACCGGAGCAAGTTCGTATCACGGATTTTTCCCTGTATCAATTCGTACGTGCATTTCGCAGTTGACTTCGCCACCACTGGATGGACCACCATTTCCTTTGCAACTCGCAACGGCATTGTTTAGCTTCCTGTATCATTTAGCCAGCTACGAAGCTGGAGGTGAAGCGCTCATTAGTTGCGGAATGATGGAAAGCTTGTTGAAAATTATGAACTGGCCTGGCACTGAACTGGAGCATATAACCGTAAGACCTCTTTGAACTCTAATAAATCTCATTTTACTAAGCACCGACTGCCACTGTGAATGGTTTTTTTCTTTTTTTTCTTTTTTTTTTCTCTGTATAGTTCGGTACAAGGGCAGTTCGCGTAATAGACTTGATGACAAACATAGATATGCAAGCATTCCAAGCTCACAATGGCCTAGCAAGTTTTATCAATCGTATCGACATGGAGGTGAACGTATGCCGAAAGGAACAACCGTTTGAGATTGAACCGTATATATACCCGGATAATCCACAGTCATCCCGCGAAAGATCTATAGAAAGGGACGAGGAATCAACGTCAACGCGACGTTTAAACGAGCCCTTTGATGAACGCGAGGAATCCTCGAATCCTATGGAGTTCTCCGAAGATGAGAACATGACCTCAAAGATCGAAGACAAAAACGAACAAATGCCAGATTGCTCTGCAGTGAAAACTGGGAAAACGTGTTTGCCCCAGCGAGCTGCGCTTTTAAAGTCAATGTTAAATTTTGTAAAGAAAACAATCCAGGATCCGGCGTTCTCTGATAGCATTAGGCATGTCATGGAGGGCACCTTACCCTCCTCTTTGAAACACATTATCAGTAATTCCGAGTATTATGGTCCTTCGTTGTTTCTTCTTGCTACCGATGTCGTAACGGTCTATGTTTTTCAAGAACCGTCATTACTATCCTCCCTACAAGATAATGGATTGACTGACATTGTATTACATGCTTTACTTATTAAAGAAGTAAGTGAATAGGGATAGTAGAAACGACGATTACTATAGTAACATTGGCTAATGTTCTGAAATTTCATCAATTCAACACAGGTTCCTGCAACTAGAGAAGTTCTAGGCTCATTACCTAACGTGTTCAGCGCTCTCTGTTTAAATCAGCGTGGATTGGAGTCGTTCGTAAAACGACGTCCATTTGGACGGTTATTTAAAGTCTTACTATCGCCAGTCTACCTTTCCGCGATGAGAAGGCGTCGAAGTGCAGATCCTTTGGGTGACACGGCGACGAATCTAGGCAACGCCATGGACGAACTAATGAGACACCAACCGAGTTTGAAGGTTGATGCAATCGCTGCCATCATAAAAGTACGGTCTTTTCGAAATATGCGTATTACACAGTGTTCATAGAATGTGTTGCGACATTACTTTTTACCTGTTACCATACATATAAAATGTTTATGATAAGAATGTTTTATACATCATTTTAGCTGTTAGAGAAACTTTGTGTCTTGGGCTGTGATCCTCGATACGTGTGTCTACGAGCTGCAAGTAAATCCGATAATTCGCCATCGAATTCAACGTCTGGAAATCGCCAGTCTTCTGGACAATCCGTTGGAGTCGGAGTCGGAGACTCCGGCGGCGGCGGAGGAGGCGGAGGAGGTGGAAGTAGTAGCGACGAAGAAGAAGAAGATGAAGAGGAAGCCAGTACAAGTTCTCATCCTCAGCGCGAGGAACAACCGTCGCCATCGCCGGCTCAACCTGGTCCACCGCCGCAGCCAAGGGAAAAAACACCGATAGCTCTGGTGGAATACATACACAACGTTATGAAATTCGTCGACGCTATTCTCAGTAACAACTCTACGGACGATCATTGTAGAGAATTCGTTGCCCAGAAAGGTCTAGTGCCGCTATTGTCCATTCTGGGATTACCTAATCTTCCAGTGGACTATCCAGTTGCGCAGGCGGCTCAGTCTGTAGCAACAGTTTGTAAAAGTATCTTGGTAAGTATTCCGGATAAGATGTTGCCATTCAATAAATGTCGTATGGATTGTAGAAATGTTCCTCCGATTTTCAGAATCTTGCGCACGAGCCACTAGTGCTGAAGACTGGCCTGTCTCAGTTGAACGAAGTGCTGAATTTATTGAAACCTCTCCACAATCACACGGACACATCTGGTGGTTCTGTTTTGTTACACGAACTTGCGTCTGCCCCGAATTTGGAGACTGCTTTTACGAGCGACACTGCAACACCTTTGCTGCATGCCATGAACGCTGCTCATGGATATGTAGTAATGTTTGTTCACGTGTGCCGCACTAGCCAAAGCGAAGTTAGGAATCTGTCTATGAACCACTGGGGATCTGGGCTTGGTTTAACTGTCTTGAAAGGTCTCACACAGCTATATATGTCGCTGGTTTGGGAAAGCACACTGTTGCTGGCACTGTGCAGTGAGGACAGTATACCAGCCGGATGCGACTTTGGAAAGGAAGATATGGAGAAATTGGTGCCACCTGAGTTAAAGGTATGCCCGCAGTCTGTTCATTAAATGGATACGTAGAAGGGTCGAAATCGGTTTCTGCACACTAAACTTTCAATCGTTCTGTTGGACATTCTGTTTCGAAAGATGAACAAAATTTTGCTTTTCTTTCAACGATGTACTTAGATAATACTAAGTCTTAGTTTTTAATAAGTTTGGAACGATTTATGACATATTATTTCAAATTAATGAACTAGAACGATGGCGAAACTTCTGGCTGGTCAGGTGGTGTATCCTCAGATATGGGAAGTAATGGAATGACTACAGCCATGGAAGCCTTGAGTACAGATCCACCACCTGTACCCATGGAGGTACAAAAATTATAAATTCTAACAATTAGTCGTATATATTATGGGACAAAGTAGAGAGACACATGCTTTAAGTACATATATAGATTGTAACCCTAATCTTTAACTTAAAGTTATTCCATATTAAAATTTTCATTCTTTTTAGGTGGACGATAAACCAAATGCTGCTGGTGCAGGCAGAGTATCGCCAAGTTCCTATCAGCTCAAGTACATTAAACCTTTATTGGGGGCTTCGTCTAGATTGGGCAGAGCACTGGCAGAGTTGTTTGGTCTACTTGTAAAGGTACTTCACAGATCTTTACTCGCCAGTAATATTTCAAACAGTCTCTAAGTAGCATTTTCGGTATTATTAAAAGCTTTCCAAGTTGTATATATATTTCTAATATTTGTCATTTAAATCTATGCAGCTTTGCATGGGTTCCCCGATGAGACAACGTAGAGGACAACAGATGCCTTTAACACCAGCTCTACCTTCGCCAGCAGCTAGAAGCGTGGCAACTGCCTTAAATTCTTTATTGATCCGTGGATTGACGTGGGATCAATTACCTCCATCGCGGATACCCAAGTTTAAATTGACCTTCTTGATATGCTCTCTAGGTTTCACATCGCCGATGCTGTTTGATGAAAAGAGGCATCCGTATCATTTGATGCTTCAAAAATTTGTTAGACAAGGCGGGCAGTATGCATTTTTTCAGTAAGTTGACGAGCAGCCAGTAAATAAATGTCACTGTCATTTTGGAACTGCTATGTGCAGTAATGTACAGTAGTGTGTTACTATTGATAATGGTACTAATTTATTTTCAGCACTTTTCGTTGGGCATTATCTGGCGAAGGACAGTTTCCTGTGTCAGAAGGATTAGAACATCCTAATTTGCCAGACGGCACTGGAGAATTCTTAGACGCATGGCTTATGCTTTTGGAGAAAATGGTGAATCCTAAAGCTATTTTAGATTCGCCGCATCTTATCACTCCAAAGTTTACTGGAATATACAAAATGTATGAATTCGATCCGATAAAGTACCTCACCAATATTCACAAGGTACGAAGATATCGGATATATTGGTAATTTTATAATTAAATAGTTTATAACATGCTTATTCGTTTGATTTGCATTACAGAAAGCCTTTGAGGCGGTGATGCTAATGTGGGGCAAGAAACCTTTGAAAAACTATGGAGCTCGTATGACAGAATCAATTTTGTCTATTTTACGGCATATCTTGAGGGGTGAAAAAATTATTAAGGTATATATACTAAAAATTCGAATTATACAGCATTCGTAGATAGATCACATTATTATTCTATAAATAACATATATTAACAGGAACGTACGGAGAAGGAAGAAATTAGCGAGGGAGCAATTACTGGCAGCACCAGCGGTACCAGTGGAATTGGAAGGACAGGAGCAGGAGCCATCTCTGACCGCAGAGAGGAACCGGAATCAGAAGTAAATCAAGAACATCTCAGACAGTTGATGGACATGGGATTCAGTAGAGCACATTGCATTGAAGCTTTGCTGCATACGTTAACGGTTGAACAAGCCACAGATTACCTTCTTACTAATCCTGCTACGCTACGTAGATCGGTACGTAACGAACGAAACCGATTCTTGAGATATTATTAAATTCTTACTTGAAGAAAATACATTTAACATTTAACTGCTTCATAATCTTACTTAGGATGTGCCAGCCGGAGACGGTAGTGGTCAAGGTCTCATAATGGACTTAGAATTGGACGATGACCAAATAATGCATGCCATCGCAATGTCATTAGGAGAAACAGAAACGCGAAAAGCTTCTGGTTTAGAAAAGTTCCCGGAGGAGCTTATTTGCGAACCTACTATAACGAGCAGTATAGATGAATTTACAAATACTGCTTTGAGCCAGTGTTTAAATTTGTTGGATCTCATGCCTGACACCGTATACAGAATCTGTGATCTATTGGTTACAATTACAAAGAGGAACGGAGATGAGTGGCGGAATAACATGTTGCTACAACTTATAAAAGAGATCGGTAGTCTAGTGGATTACTTGATTGACATCGCCGAAAGTCAAGATCCAAACGCTGGTACAAGATTAGTAGAATGCGAAGAAGCTAACAAAGTTGCTGGACGTATTTATCTTTACACTTTATTCTTCGAAGGGACACTCCAAGAAATGCGAGTAGCTTGCGCCCAAATTGTGAAACAATGTGGTGTCTCAGAATTACTCGTACGGTTGTTGGTAGTAAGCGAGGGACCGCTTACAGCTAATAAAAATAAAGTTTCCAAAGATAACAAGGATGGGACAGCTACTACAAAAACTCCAAAGTGGCTTGCACCTTTGCTGCTTCTCATAGACCGCTTAGAAAAAGTGGCAATATCAACACTGAGGACACTGTTAATGCACAAGGTGACACGCAGAGTCTGGAAATGGTTTGACTTGAATACAGGAGAATGGACAGTGTACTCTCCAATAAACAATCGAATAATCAACGATGCTTACTGGGCTGATGAACCTAGTGTACGGATCACGTGCAGCAGACGTAGATACCTGATCACCTTTTCGTCAATGACACAAGTGAACGAGGAAAGTGACAACAGAAGACCGATCACAATGAATTTCAAATTGTTCCCTGTGGCCGATTATGGTCCGGTGGAGCACATGAGGAAGACGTTTGTACAGGGACTGGATCCTAGTGTGATCCCAAGCATTATACGTACCTGTGTAAAATTATTGGCGATTCCGGTGGATCGAGATGCCTTGCACGCGTTAATGAAGGTCTGTTTACGATTGACGCGAGATTACGAGAATGCAGCGATCTTTGCTCGCGAAGGTGGTGTGAAACTTCTATTGGAAATGACACAGGCGAGCAGTTTCATCGGATGTATCAGTCTAAGTACCCTACTTATTCGGCATACTTTAGAGGAATCAAATACGCTTCGGCAAGCCATGGAGAAGGTTATTCGAACTCGCACCCAGGGCAACATACCTCCACCGTACAAAGAAATTTTGTTTATGACTCGTCAGATCAGCAGTGCTGTTTGTCGTAATCCAGAAGTCTATAGAGAAGTTTGCGAAAAGATTCTCAGAGTGGACGTTAGCCTGTTAAGACGAGATTTTGATCACAGATTAATCGTGAAAGCTCTACCTCCGAGCCAGTCGCAGAATACCACGATGGCGGAAGAAGTATCGGAAGTATCGGTATATGTGGTACAAGACCTATTGAATGCTCTTATAAAATCTGTGCCAGTTATTCCTGACGATGGTGCAGCGTCCCCTACCGGAAGTCCCGAGAAGAAAACGTCTCACTCGAATTCTACCGTAGGAACGACATCTTCTAGACGAGACGGTCTTAGAAACAACGCGACAACAACGAACGATCCTTTGGACGACGACGATCAAGTCTCCCAGATAATCCCACTGAAAATCTACCCGGATGTCGGTAACAACGGTAAAGTCGAGCCGGAAGAAGCAAAGAAGCCTTTGTTAGCCAAGTCTGCGATTCTAAAGATACTCGCGGAAGCTGTTCGTTCTTACAACGGAATCGCCGACTTAATTACGGAGCATGTGTACGTTGCTGAGCAAGGTGAGATGGTGACAGAAGACACAACTGCGCTTGCTTTCCTTTTGGACAAGCTTCTACCGATGTTGCCGGAGAATTCGAGCGACAGACAATGCAGTAGCACGGCACGAATGTTGATAGCTGCTATTGCCTCCTGTAACCATTCTCCGGATGTCCAAACAACCTTGGTCACCGAAGTGAAGGCCGCGTTAACGAGAACGTTGGCGCTTCCCGAAAGCTCGGAGAAACACGCGCAACTTCAGTTGTTGATCGGTCTGATATCGACCATGATCGACAGCTGTCCGCCAACACCGAATAATCAGTTGAGAGCCTCTTTAAAGATGCACCAGTACAATAATGTCAATTATATCGTGAGGATCATGTTGAGAAAGGGTATAATCACCGACTTGGCAAAAATCCCACACAGTCTCGATCTTTCCAGTCCAAACATGGCTGGCACCATCAACGCCGCCCTGAAACCTCTCGAGACACTTTCCAGAATCATAAATCAACCAATGCCAGGCACTGTGCATAATAAATTTTCAAAGCCTAAAAACAGAACGGTTCCGGAGGACCCGATCGGGGAACAAACGGAAACCACAACGTCCGAGGCAACTCACGCGGTTGGCGAGGAAGCGAACGAAGATGCTGAAAATACTGAACACGATATATCCGTCACTGCCGAGAGCCTTGAACCTACTTCAGAGGGTCAGGTGCACGAGGAGGGTGACGAAGCTGCATTGGAAGACATCATGGATCAGCTGCTTGAAAGGTAACCATATGCAAATGATGTTACTTAGTATAAATTACTTGCGTCCTGTCAGGATTCTTCGTTATAGCGATCAAACTGACAGTATAAATATAATATCCATTATCTTAGATACCTATAAGCTACTGTACTTATAATCAAGTAGTGTACTATTTTCCAGGGACGGCTCAGCCGTGACAGAAGAACAGTCTTCTCGGTCGCACAGGCCAATGGATATTGACGACGAAAGTCTTGCTATACGCGACGGGGAGGCTGACTTTGACCCTACACGATTTCTATCTTCTTCGGTTCCTGATAATCCTTCCTTTCGAAAAGGTTTTCCTTCTAACATGAATGTTGTATCTTCTAGGAGGATCTAATGAGTTCCGATTCAGATTCCGATAGCAATCCCTCCGATGATAATGAAGACGAAGTACAAGATGAAGAAGACGAGGAAGAGGAGGAGGAAGATGATGGTAATTCAGTCATAATTATTGAAATCGTATTTACCGATACAAGAATACACAGTAAAGGCGGATATTATGAATATATTTCATTAGGAGAGGAGAATGAAGAAGAGGAAGAGGAGGAGGAAGAAGGCTCTTCTAATTACGAAGAGGATGGAATCGAGTTTTATGAAGATGTCGAAAGTGGTGTCTTCAGAATGTTCCCATCTACCGAACGTGACGGAAGTAACGTTGTAATGATTCAACATAATATTGACAATCAGGACAATTTGAACACTTCCACTCCTGTTACACCACGACCCAGTATTCCATGGACTACTACATTTCCTCTACCTCTGGGGCTTTTCGAAGACCCATCTTCAGTTTCCGAAGGCAATGGTACGGTCAGACTGTTGTAATACTATACATTAATATACGGAATGTCTCAGTAACATAAACAAATTATTACATATATACAATCGGAGGGTTAAAGATTAACGAACTTTTGTTCTTCCTTAGGTATAAATTCTCACCCGTTGCTAATACCACAGGGCAGTTTGGACGTTGCTAGTACAAGAGCTCCGAGAGCTCCACGGCAACGGAGGTATCAGTTCCTTCAAATACAAAATCCACGAAATCCGAATCCGCCAGTAATCTTACAAAGGTGAATTAACTCGAACTAAATACGTTAAGTATAATTCGATCGTGTCTAAAATTGCAAAAAAATAAAGTAACGGTTTTGGGTGCGAAAGTAATGAAATACTTAGTAGCATGCATAATGTGATGTATTTTGATCATGTACATTACAAGTTAATTTTATACCAATGTACGACGTATAATTGTAGGTTATTAGGACCAGCCGCACAAGCGATTCCCCTGCCTGCTAGTCAGGTTTTAGCCTCCAGCTTCCGAGACACGCGTGTCGTTGTAATGGATAATGGTCTTGGAATCTTTACCAATCAGGAAGAGGAACAATTTGATTTCGTGGTCGGTAGAAAAACTCTCATGATATTTTAAAATTATTTCATACATATTATTTACAATGTATTAATCACGTCTAACATTTTTAGGATCAATCTGGCTATCTTTTTGGACCCAGTCTAGCAGCCACGTTGAACAACATTCCAACAGCATTGCATTGGTGGATTGAAGAAAGTAAACTGTTGGATGGAGATTCTCAGGCAGACTGTTGCGCTGGTAATTAGTGGATACCGTGTAAAAATTTTCTTCGTAAAACAAAAAAAAGAACTCATATATTATCTTGAAATTTTCCGTTCAAGGTGTTGTATTTAAATTGATTCCTAACCTGGTGAAGCATCGAGATGCTGAACTAGCTGAACGAAAAGAGAGGCGTAAGAAGCAACACAGTTCTGAAAAGAAAGGTGAAAAAGATGGCAAAGAGGAGAAAGATCATCTAAATAATACGGAATGTATGTTAATTATTCTTGTCTCCTTCTTTACCACGAAAACTATCCATCAGGATTACGGTATTAAATGGCACATTTATTTCAGCGAGTTCTTCCACTGTGATACCTATAGAAGAGCAAATATCGGCGGCTTCAACGTCCCAAAGAGAGGACGCGAGTAACCTGGTCACTTGCATCGAAACCACTCCTGTCGAAGCAACTCGACAGGAACGTACGCCCGACGAAGATATAATCGACGTGACCGGCGAAATGGAAGTAACAGTCCAAGATGACGAGGAACGACCTCCGCCGCCTCCACCACACGAGCAAGTAACGCCCTCGGAGCCTAGAGACCCACGAATAAGTAATAGAAACTCAACTTTGGAACTGGCAGAGAGTATCGTCGACTCCGTACTCGGCCCATGTGCGACTGAAGCAAGCCGACTAAGACAGTCGGAACGGCCCGCAGAAGCATCGAATCCCAACGAAACGTCTAGTCGGCCCAACGCATCCATAGTAGTTGATTTTAGTCAAGAAGGTAACGAAGACTTGTTAAGAGAAAGTGTCTCGTTTGATTGGATCAGAAGGCTTTTAACCGATGACAGTCAATCAAACGTTGAACGAAATGCAAATGTACTCAATCAAGATCCCACCACTTCAGCATCAGAAAACATTAATCCAGAGCCGTCAGAACAGCAACAACCGCAACAACAACAGCAACAACAGCAACAACAACAACAACCAGAACAATCACAACAACAGCAGCCACAGGAGCAACAACTACCAGATGGAGTGGATCCATCCTTCTTGGCTGCTCTGCCAGAAGACATGCGTGACGAAGTCATAGCTGAACAGCTTCGGTAATTGTGTTTAGTTGTGTTTAGTTTGTCTTCCAATTTGTAACCCAGACCAACTGTTGTAAATGTTGCAAATTCAGATATGAAAATGAAAATAATTTAAAATTGTTGCAGACTTCAACGAATTCGCATACGAGCTCAAGCTACCGTCGTTGAGGAATTAACCGGACCGGTTGAGGTTAATCCTGAATTTTTGGCTGCCTTACCACCAGCGATTCAGGAAGAAGTACTTGCGCAACAACGCTTAGAGCAACAACGACATGCGGCCGCGTCTGCTAATCCAGATGATCCGGTTGATGCAGCCGCGTTTTTCCAGAATTTGCAACCTTCTTTGAGACAAGCGGTGAGCGTTTGAAATATTAGGAATTACGCGTGTCCCTCACCGCTATTACCGCAACTGGTACTTATAGTTTTATTCGATTCATTTAGATATTGACCGACATGGAGGAGTCACAGATATCCGTTCTTCCGCCAGATCTGGCACAAGAAGCTCAAAATCTTCGGAGAGAATGGGAGGCTCGAAATCGAGATTTAATGCAACAAAGATTTCTTAGTCATGTTAGTCAAGGAAATGCTACCTTGTCCAGTATATTAAGGCATTCTGGTAGATGCGTGTGTGTGTGTGTGTGTCTTGCAAACAGCAAAGTGTAAAAACATAATTAAATATTATTAAAACAGGTAGAGGTGGTGCTACACGTTATGCAATTCAGGCGGTAGCACAAAGAGGACAATGGGATCCGTTGATGCGTGGTGATACTAGTATAACACACCAGGGTGCGGGTCTCCGACTCAGAGGCAGACAATTGCTGGACCATGAGTCGATGGCCTGCCTATTGGTATTACTGTTTGTTGATGAACCAAAAATTAATACATTAAGGTTTCATAGAGTTATCAGGAATCTTTGCTATCACGGTAGTACAAGAGACTGGGTAGTCAAAGTTTTACTAAGTATCATGGAAAAAAGTAACGATGAGAATAAAGATATTGCTGTGGATTTCGGTGGAAAATTCAAAAGAAAAAGTTTGATGCCCACGATGGACTACTGGTAAATAGAGGCGTTCAATTCAAACACTGAAAATTGGTATCGCAGAATAAGGTGTATTGTAAACTCCCGTCTGTTTTGCAGTTCTCCCAAACTTGTCGATCAAAGGAACAACGCACAGTCGTGGTTAAATATCAGCATCGATGCTGCACTTGGCTGCCGAGCAAACGTTTTTCATATTGTTAGACACGGTGGTAAGAAATCAGAGAGGCAAGGCAGCAGTATCGCCATTCACCCACAAGCTGCACCCACAGTGTGCAGGTGAGTTGCTTTAATGATACAGAGATTCAAAACTAGAATGTGTTGCGATTTAATGTCTTCAAAATTCATATCGATTCGAATTGTATTCGAATTTTTTATGATCCCTGGATATTTTGTGCCAATTAAGCCTAAAGAGTCCGAAGAGAAGGATTCAAACAATAAGGATGAGGCTTGCTCAAAGGGCAAGTCCGCCTCGAAACCAGGAAAGAGCGACCAACCGGATTTCTGGGATATTTTATTAAAACTAGACTCGTGTGCCTCGAAGAAAGGAAAGTCAGTTGCCAGGACACATTCAAATTCGAACTTGGGAAACGAACCAGAACATAGTACGGCTACTTTTGAAGCTTCTGCCTTCGGTCAATTAATTTCTATGTTGAATTGGTCAGTCATCAAGCGTAGCAGTCAGTTAACAGATAAATTATTGCGACTGTTGTCACTGATCTCAATCGGGTTGACGGAAGTGAACCCGTACCACAGACAGGAGGGAAATAAAACTAAAAAGACCGAAGGCAACAAAGAACTGAGTGTAGCTGCACCTGAAGAACATCTCAGATTGGCTGTACAAGTACTGACTAGCAAAAGTTGTTCCGAAGAGGGTCTGGAAGATGCAACTGCTCTGTTGCTTAATTTGTCTCACTGCCCTGACCCAACTAGGCAACTGGTAAGGTTATCATCGTTAAATATGCCGTTCGATTAAACAATACACACAATACATATTTTATTTATTTTATACTTGTTCAGATATTAAAATTACTCATGGAAGGCGCAATGGAACTGGCTAACATGGTCTGCGAACACATAAAAGATTTAATGATGGAATTGAAGGTTTTGAATCGCGAATTAAGAAGGAATTCTATGGAAGAGCAACCTTCAACTAGTACTGGTGGATCCCGTGGAATTCTCATGGACAGGTACATGTTTTGTACTATAAATTACTGTGTTATTGGTGGTTACGCTAACCTAACCTACCATTTAAATCCTGATTACTTTTTACAGGTTTACAAACGAAAGTGTAGTTGTTACTGCTCCAAGCAAGGTCAAAGCTGGAAGTGATCTTCAGCTGCCATCAATGGCTGCTCTTGTTAGTAAAACCTCTAGTCAGGCATTCTTCTTGAGAATACTTAAAGTAATTGTACAAATAAGGGAGGCCGTACGTCTGGCAAACGCTAAGAAGACAAGTACGTCTAGAGAGTGTAATTTTAATAATTTTGATAAATAAGAACTGTTAATGTCTCATTGAATTTCTATTTTTTAACACCACCTACAGCCAATCAGACTACGGAAGGTACCGGTGAGACTGCAAGTACGAATCAAGCTCCAGATGAAGGTACATGATTTAACACATTATATTTGTTAGACAAATTATGTGTGGCTATTATACATTATACACGACTGTAAATTAAAAAGTATCGCGAAGTGCAAATTTCTGTGATTCCATCTGTGAGAAAACATTTCGGAATAAGAAAATTTTGCACACTTGCAAACTAATATCCAAATTGAATCGAATATTCGTTAAAAGAAGAACTGAACAAATTTGTATGAATAATAAAATTTTAATATATGTTTAAAAGCCGATGATAATGCCGACGGTGATGTGCCTATGGATACGACGCAAGCAAACTCATCTCAGTCTGACAATGTGAAATCAACTGTCGCCTCTGATGGTAAATAATGACAAATAGGCAGCTTCTTCTAATGTTGTATTAGAGTTCTTGTGTGCAACATTTTTTTTTTTAGTGGAGTTTGTAAACCATTCAAAAATCTCTTGTAGATACTTTTTATGATCATCGAATTAAACTAGCGTTCGAAGAACAGATGATTTAGAATGACAAACTAGTCTGCACAGCTATATAGAAATAATTTATTTTTTTCATATGTAGACATAGGTGGACAATCATTATCTTTATTTTGCAGGTGAAGAAAAACTTCCATTGTTAAGTGAATGTTTAGTACTGGATCATTTATGGGAAACACTCAGCGCCTGTCTATTGGAATTAGAATATACTCCAGATCATCACGCTGTTTTAGTTTTACAGGTGAATCCTCGATATACTAGATAAGTGGTCTTTGATTAATAATTTACGTTGGATTAGAGTGTTCACTATAGGTAATTGTACTTTCTAGCCTGCCGTGGAGGCCTTTTTCCTAGTTCACTCATCGTCTAGCGCCTCTCGGGAACGTCAACTGACTACAAATGCAGAAAACCGCGAGGTTGTACCAGACCTGGCGCCGGTGTCGCCGATATATTCGGACAACGAGGGCACATCCCAATCGGAAGCCGCTATTAACACTTCCTGGGACATGACACCTCCTCCACAAAAAACATTACCACCGGACCAAGTCAAGTTCCTTAAATTTGCTGGTACACATTTCTCGTCTATCGTATCACCTCTGGTATACCTAACGTTGTTAAACAAGAAGCTTCAGTGGAAATATTTTCTTCGCAGAAACACATAGAACTGTTTTAAATCAAATCCTTCGTCAGACAACTACACATTTGGCGGATGGGCCATTCTCTGTGTTAGTGGATCACACGAGAGTCCTTGATTTCGACGTGAAGAGGCGGTATTTCCGAGCAGAATTGGAACGAATGGACGAAGGTATTCGAAGGGAAGAACTGGCCGTGCATGTACGCAGAAGCCATGTATTCGAAGACTCGTTCCGAGAGCTTCACAGGCGAAACGCCGACGAATGGAAAAACCGATTTTACATTGTCTTTGAAGGTAGAAAAATACTACTATTTCATCGTACCTTTTCACCTATGTCTATTTAGTTGCGTAGCGAATGTTGTACTCATTGTTACTGTTAAATCGTAGGCGAAGAAGGACAGGATGCCGGAGGATTGCTCAGGGAGTGGTATGTCATCATTTCCAGAGAGATTTTCAATCCTATGTACGCTCTGTTTACTGTGAGTCCTGGTGACCGAGTGACATACATGATCAATTCTTCTTCGCATTGCAATCCCAATCATTTGTGTTATTATAAATTCGTCGGTCGTGTTATTGGTAAGCTCTTTCTTATACGAAGCTGTTAATTAAGTATAGAATGAACCTGATATTAAATATACTCTGTGTTACGTTACACGCGGTCATAATAAGCGATGTTCGTGCTACGAGCGGAAGTTGAGATAACAAGCGCAAACAACGTGTGACACGAACAATTATTTTTACAGCTAAAGCAATTTACGACAACAAGCTCCTGGAATGTTATTTCACGCGAAGTTTTTATAAGCACATCTTGGGAATATTGGTGAAGCACACGGATATGGAAAGCGAAGATTATAGTTTTTACAAAGGATTGGTATACCTTACGGAACACAATATCGCCGATCTTGGATACGAATTAACCTTCTCTACAGAGGTTATATTTATTACATATTGGTGTTTGATTGAAACCGAAACTTTTATCCAAAACTTAAAAAACTGCTTTTCTACGTACATTTCTAGGTGAATGAATTCGGTGTAAACGATGTTCGAGATCTAATACCAAATGGACGGAATATCGTCGTTACCGAAGAAACGAAATTAGAATACATTCGACTTGTTTGTCAAATGAAAATGACTGGAGCAATTCGAAAACAGTAAGAGAAATAAAATATAAGCCTCGACAACTTTAAACGACATTACTTTTTAATTAATTATACAAGTTGCCCAAGTTGTCAGAACTGTTACGAACCATTAACAAACAACGTACCATTTCACAACTATGTTGTTTACAGGTTGAACGCGTTCCTAGAAGGTTTTTATGACATTATTCCAAAACGACTGATTTCCATATTCAACGAGCAGGAACTTGAACTGCTTATCAGTGGATTACCCAACGTAGATATCGAAGATCTTAAAGCCAATACCGAGTATCATAAATATACCGCGACTTCTTTACAAGTGAGTGTATTGCGTCAATCGCCATTTTGAACTATAATTTTTATAGAGAAACGAATTTGCTGACTCTGATACTTCTTATTTGAAAAAAACAAAAAAACTTTAGATCCAATGGTTCTGGCGAGCACTGCGAGGTTTCGATCAAGCAGACAGGGCCAAATTCTTACAATTTGTCACCGGAACGTCAAAAGTGCCGTTACAAGGATTCGCTGCTTTGGAAGGAATGAACGGTGTACAAAAGTTCCAAATTCATCGTGAAGACAGATCGACAGACAGGCTTCCATCAGCTCATACATGGTAAGGTGTCCTCGAGTTAACATATTCAGTGCGGGTGACGCGAACGTACACGTGGTGGCGATGTACTCGTTCTGCTTTGTTGTTCACGTTCATGCTTTTTTTTCTCTATGAAAAAAATACTTTTATTCTTGTTTAAAATCTTATAAAATGTCAAAAGTAGTATAAAGAGATACGTTTTATGGAAAAATTCGCCGTGCGGAACATCTTTCGATTTTTGATACCGCATTCAATGCGTTAAAGAAGAAATAGAAGAAACGAAAGATAGTGTTACTTGTTCACATTGAATATAAATGCACATAGACATCGACAGGCAACATTACAAAAAGTTAATTTTACGTCGGTAATCTATATGATAATGACACTGAATAATCTTTTAATTTGTATCTTTTGCACAGTTTTAATCAGCTGGATCTACCCGTTTACGAAACGTATGACAAGCTCCGTACGAATTTACTGAAGGCGATCCATGAATGCAGCGAAGGGTTCGGTTTCGCCTAAATTCTTTGCTAGGTTGAGCAAATCATGCGGCAATTTCGCACGAAAGCTCGAAGAGCGAAGACAACGGGTATAAACAATAAAATAGAGTAAGGGAAGTCGAGAAAGACAAAGAAATGAGAAAAAAAAATTGCTAAACAATTGTAAAAGTACCGTAAGAACGCTTGATCTTCGCTCAAGATCTAGTATAAAATGTTTACTCTGCTATATGCATATTAAAACTAAAAAGGCGTATGTATATACGTATAGTTAACGATGATTGTAATTACCGATGATTCGTCGCTAGAGTTTATTTTGTTGAACGATCTTAAGGGAGAGACGCAGAGCTTAACGATAATTCCCGACAAGGAAGGAGAAGACTTAATCGGACACAAATTTAGTTAAGGACCTCTACGATTAAGATATAAACAAATAAGGAGAAAGAACTCGGTGTAATTCATCGTTAAGAGAAAGTGGCGGGCTTTTGAATTGAATGTAATATAAATTGCAATTCGAAGCCGAAAGCTCTCCTCTTTAGCAGAGATTTTGACAGGGGGTGAGGAACGAACAGTTTTTTTGGTTTTGCCGTACGTGAGGAGGCAAAGAAGTGAAGGTAACAGATGAAAATGATGGAAGAAACGTATGCCTGTGATCGGTCAGAATACGTGTTTATTTCTTCAAAGATATACGTGAAAGAAAAGAGATGTACAAGTGAGAGATGCTAGAATGCATAGAAGAAACATTTAAGTGTGTGATTACATGGGTATATATGGATGTGTACATGTGTATGTGTGCGCGTGTACGTGTAGTGTGTATGATACTTGAACAAGAGTGTGAGAGAGAGAGAGAGAGAGAGAGACAGGATTATTCAAGAATCGATTAGACATGAGCCTAAAATACGAAAAAAGAAAACATTTCAAGATGTGTTCTACCCTTACACTCGCAAAAACATCTATGGTTGTACACTATTAGTATTAATAATTATAATATTATCTAATTCTTAATCGATAGTAATTATCATTAATTAATATCGTTTTAATATTAATCATTGGAGAAACGTGATGTTGAAAAAACGGAAATCGTGTCACTTTCTTCCCTTTTCTTTTTTCCTATGGACAGCGCGCAATCGCTCGTCCGCTCGCCTGGTTATCTCCGAATCCGATCCTCGATGTTCCTCTGCCAATCTTTATCAACTTCTGCTCTGAGAAAGTAAAATTTCAACTTTGCAAATCGAAAGGATGTTAATTTTTGTAAACACATCGAATGGGACAATATATATATATCGTTTTTGGAAGAGAGAGAGAGAGAGAGAGAGAGAGAGAGAGAGAATGAATGAAAGGGAGAGAGAGGAAAGCATATAGATCCACATTGGAAACTCTTCGCGATACTGTTAGGGAAGTTATTGCTTAGGAATTCGCAGAATAAACTAAATGTTGTATTTCTTATAAATCAATTGCGTTTTTTTTTAATACACGGAGACACCTCTTAATTACTGCAGCTTACATTTGAAACAAAAGTACATCTTACGAAACGCAGGAAAGTGGAATGTTCCAACAGATGTTGATAATCTAAAATTGAAGACGTGAAGGAAGCTAGTCCCGCTTAAACGTAATCACCTGCCCCATATTGAAATATGACAGGTATCCTTGACCCAATCATCAGTTTTAACATGTTCTTTTGCTCCTATTATACTTAATATCGAGAAACGGTAAACCGTCGCTCTTGTCAGCATCTCTTCGGAAAGTCAACGTTTTTTTATTCGAGTGAGTTTTTAATTGAATTTAAATTTGAGAAATCAATTAATGAACCCAACGGCAGACTATATTCCTAAGAACTCTGTGTCCGATATGAAGTTGGTGTGTTTTATTCGCATTGGTTTAAAAAGAAAAATTAAATTGAAATCGTATTTATGATATTTTGAGAAAAGCACTAGATAAAAGCAAAACAGTTTAATTTGCGTATTGATTTTGAGGTGTTTTAAAAGAATTTTTACAGGAATTATTTTTTTACATTTTTACGATCTTGAGAAAAAACGAACAAGACTCTTCTTGCGTGTATATATAACTTTGTACAATGGGCTTATGTGACAAAGTAATAAAAATAAATACACAAAGAAAATGTAAACTACAATTATATAATAAATATACATATATGTATTATATAATTTATGAATGTGAACAGTATATTATTGTAAGTTTAATTATAAAAAACCTGTATCTTGAAACACATCACAGAATTTAAAAAACTTAATTAGATTAGGAAACGCTCCTACTGTTTTATGGCGTAGCCTTAGGTTTTAGTTCTTCGAAACACGGTCTAAGGAAAATTGAGTTTTTCTTCGCTGGATTATAATACTCATGACCCTGTAAACAATAACAATATTGTAATTAATCTCTTTTCTTTTAAATGTTGTATACAACTTAAAAACCAATATTAACTGAAAATAATACCAGCAATGATGTTTCTTTAGTACCAATAATACAATGTACATAAATTAAATTAATTGAAACTTGTAAAGACTACGAATATTCGCGTAACTTTCAATTTCCTTTGATCCTTGATCACATCAAGTTTCATTCCATTCTTTGATATAGATTTCTCTTTGTAAAGGAAACATTACCTTTGACCAATCGTAGGATACTGCATATGCAAATATTTGTCCATTATGATTAAAGCAACATTTAGTGATAGGCTGTTCCATGGGTTCAGAAGATTTCAATTTAGTTCGAGAATCCTTGTCCCAAAATCCAAAAGTACCGTCGGCGCCAACAGTAGCAACAGTGCCATGAACTGGATGGAATGCAATGTCATTGACCTACATAAAAAACAAAAAAATGTTTCCTTGCTATTTCATAGAATATCATTCATACTCGTACTAACTGCATAAATATCTTGATATCCATTCGGTGTCCCATTTACTCTGTGACATTTGAAAGTGAAATTCTCTTTTGCACTTAAATTCAAATGATGTATCGCGACACGTCCTTCTGTGCTACCAATAGCAAAACCAGTAGGAACCTTCTTCTTGTCCCTGAAGATAGCAACGCATCTGTATTGATATTTCAAATTTAGTTCTACCGTTTTGTACTCTCTAGGACTGCCTTCTAGTTGGTAAACAATTAGACCACGTCCTGCAGTTCCTACTACTGCCATTGGATAATCCTATGGTAATTTGAACACAAAGAAAAAAAGTCGATTGCGAAAACAATGGTTGAAATAGAAAATGGGACTACTGTATACTTACAACATCTGCACAATAGCATCTTTCGATTAAATTGAGGGTCATTGCTGGTTTTGGACTTCGTAAGTCCCAAAACTGAAACAAAAAAACTAATCGGTATAGAAATGTTTGGAAATAAAGTATATACCTTATAAATACCATTAATAGAAACATACTCTTAATGTTTTATCCCAAGAACCTGTCATGAGGCACGAATATGAACTAGCTTTAATCCAATGACAATTTCTGATGGGTGCATCGTGTGCAGCAACCTGTATACTTTGATTCGACGCCAAATCCCAGCATTTCGCTGTTTTATCGCATGATGCCATGAAAACTTTAGTTCCGTCCTGTTTTAAAAGAGACAATTACATTTTTGTTACAATTATGTACCTCCGTGAAAAGGAAAAAACTGTTAAACTTACATCGCTCCAACAAACATCAAGAATCGGTTCGCCCATGGACTGCATGGATTTTGGAACTGTTTTGCCCGACTGCTCGACTTCCCAGCAACGCACATTGCAATCCCACGAACCAGCTACCAAAAAGTTTTGTGGAATAGAAGCAGGACTAAACGCAAGACTGGAAATAGAATCGTCAGGGGGAGAGACAACCTCAAAGTCCTGCATTGGATTAGACGTGTTTGATGTGCCGGTACGTAATCCACCACTTTGGGTGAACATATTTCCTCAACTTCAGTTTCTTAACTGTACTCGATATAAAATAACGTTGTCGTTCAACAGAATGTAATCAAACACAAGGCAACACAAGGTAACCGCTTATTATAAACACTCTTGAAATCACTTGAAATAGTCAAGCGCAGCCATGCGACCACATGCGACTCGCATCATGCGAGTCGCATGGCGCGACCATGTTATCGCGTGCAAATCATAGACATTTATAATAGACTCAATAGATTGCGCGGTCTTATGGTACGGATGAAGTCGGCACTAGAAAGAGAGAACAATAACTGGAGTAACTTACGTCTCTTTCTAATGGGGCTATTAGTGGGGAATCTCCGACGGTGTAGTGCAGTCCGTGCAGCCAAGTGCAGAGTGCAGTGTAGTCAAGTGTAGTACAGTGTAGTGGAGGCAATACATGCGTGCAGCATGCAGTATTCCTTTCCTTCTCCTCATCGCTGCTCATCGCCCTCCAGTCGCTTTCTTCCATCCCTCTTCGATGTGCGAGCAAGAGAGGAGTTACTCCAACGCTACTTCTGTCCTTCGGTCTCGCTTCATCCCTACCATAAGACCGCGCAGTCTATTATAATCTAATATAATATAAAATATCATTATAAGTATGTATATGTATATGTTCCGATCACGCCCTGAAAGATCACTACGTTTACTACGTTCAAGAAGCGTGCAGCGCCATCATATTTTGATCATTTTGACATTGCTAATAACGGCAGTCCGGGACTGTCCGGGACGACTGGGGACGATCAAGCCCAACCAAGCCTTTTCACTTCGATAACGGAGAGCAACCATACGAACACGCAAGGTTAAAACAGAGGAAGAGATTTTAGATCTCGTCATTTATGTCTACACGAATTCACACGAGTTCAACGTAGAAAACATATTGTTCGTTTAAAATCTTGAACGTTGATTTGGCGGTTTCACTGAATATCGTGCGCATGCGCGGTTCATCCTACTACGTATTAGATGGATTCAATTTCGGTAGCGCGAGAATGCAACTTTTTCTTGTTTACTGTGAAATCAGACGTTTATTCGTAACATCGTAGCAGTTTATTCAAGCGTCCAGGGAATATTAGATACGCGACCCATCAGCAACTGGTATTACTGCATACCGGTCTAACTTTCGCACCAGACGTCTTTCTGGCTGCGAAAGTGTAACGCACCTGAGCGTACCTTATTATCCCTTGTTTAAACGTACCGCATTCTTTTGCAAATATTCAGTGTAAGAACTCATATATCTAACGAGTTTCTTATCTCTTGTTCTATTCGGAATATTTCCAACTACGAGACAGTAATGGTAGCTCTATTATATTTTACTAGATGTCCAATATTATACGTGTTACAAAATACATGTATCGCTGAATGTAACGGTTTGGAAGTACAACGTAAAGGAGCATATTTCAGACATGGGGAGTTGTATCAAGTGGATAAAGATGCTAAATAATTCATGGATATATCCCCTCTAATGCTATATTCCGGAAACAGGACATCAAAAGAGAAATTCTTGATAAAACCATATACACTCGTGTAATCGTAAGTGAACAATTTCCTTTGCGTATTGCTATCAAATTCTGACTCACAATTAAAACAGAAAATAAGCGGGGTTTTGAACTATCCACAATAAAGGATGCGACGATTTATATGCAGCGACGTCAAAGAGGCGCCCGTATGGAATTAGTTTACATCCACTTTCCATTTTCATTTTACTTTCTTTCTACTGTACTTCGCGTTGTTACGCGTACGCAACGTTTACCATTTCACCTTAGTTTAGAAGAAAAAAAAAGAACAATTCGTTCTTTGAGGGCTCAATTCCATGCACACCGGAGATACATTATACATATTACAAATGCAATAATGAATTTCATTTCGTATTAGATCGGTTTTAAGACAGTTTAACTGAAACGTACTTGTAAAACGAGACCCCAAAGAGAATACTAGCGTGGGAGCTGAAGTGATCTAAGTTTCTTCGAAATGTTTTTGTTTTGTTTTTTTTTTCTTCTAATTCTGACTGGAAGTGGCTGATGGACCCCGAGTGGGGATCGCCAACAATTGTCCTAGGTCATTGTCATTAAAGTATTTGAATTCACCTGATTGCCTCACGGTCGGCGTACGTTTTAATGAGGCGTGTATGCGGAAAGTAGAAAGCATTGCGAAAGATAATGACTAATGACAAGAGTGCATATATGTATCGTCATTCCGGCTTTCGTGTCCCCCAGTGTAATATACAATCACTCTTTCTTGATCTACATATACTACTACCGTTGCGTTTCCTTTTCAGGTCGCTATAAATATCATAATTCCACCTACGTCTCCTCCCTGAAAAGCCATATCTTACCGGTCAACAATCACTGTCAAGATCCATCGTTGTGTTGTGAAGAAGGACCGAATCCGATCGAAAAGTAATTCAAACGACCTGAACCGAAATACTTTCGAGACGTGTCGCCAGTCTTTTTTTGTCGCGGATCCGTCACATCTTTAAGGGAGCCCCGAGAAACTTTCTTTCGGACGAAAGGTAATTTGTATTCACGGTACTCGTACATTTTATGCGGGATGTAAACCGAGCAGTCAGGATTTAAGTAGGCTGCCTTAAGGGGGTATATATTCTCGTTGATGGTCCCGAAAGCAAATGGTATTCAAAGTGTGGAAGATTGAATTTTAATAGCAAATTCATAGGTTTCCTTTAATTACAGAGTAACATTTCATATTTTGTATCGTTCAATAATAACGCTATACCGTGTATCAATAATGTTGTATAACAGGTAGGTGATGTACATTATTTAATTTTCTACTCTAATTTATATTTTACACGTAATACTCATCACAATTCCTTTATATTTATGCACGTATTTCATATTTTCAGGGGACTTGTATCTTACGTCGCGAGGTGCATACTATACTTCATACTTCATTCGTTCATACCTCCTATACCGTGAATTTCGATTCATAAATTACACAAATATAGTACATTAAGCGTACGTTGTATTCGCAACAAGATGTAATATTATTCATCTTCCTTTCGCGAAGGAAAGTTATCCACCCACCGTAACAAAAATATGTTTTAACCTTGGCAATGGTAACGTATAGAAATCGGGGCACTACATAATATATTCACGAAAGGATCCCACAATCCAGATAATTGTAGATAAAGATGTGAAAAGTTCGAAAGTCCAGTGAAGATGTTCCAAAGTAAAACAGACGATTTCAGACCGGTCATTACTCGATCGTGAAATTATTAATCGGTGCATCGTAAAATGGTTTGTACTCGGATCGTAGCTGTTGTAGAACTAATGGTACGTAGTGTGTGCCACGCGATGATAAGTTCGATGTACTTAATCTTCCAACCGGTATAGGTACTTCGTGAAAGGGATACTTTTCTATATACATTAAAAAGTCTAATTATGTCTAGGTAGGTCATGCTCCTCATAGTTCACTGAATAGTCAGCCACACGACTGACCCATTGCTTTCCCCGTAAAAGTGAAGAGTTAAATCAGGTTGACTCTTTCTCCCTGCTCTGTATGGTCGAGTACCAACCAATGTCCTATCAGTATGTGCACATCAAGATCGCTTTTACCTTTTTGTGAGCGAGGAGGGATTCTTAGGAGTATAAAACAGTAAGGAACAGATTCGCATGCCAGTATGTGTGTAGTTTCAATTTAGTAAAGAGTCACAGGGATCGTGGTTCGTAGCACGTAGTTCGACTCGTAACGCCAGAACTACTACCCCTATCATGCCGAAAATAATTTCACTTGTGAGTACTATCGAAACTATATCTCACTTTTTATTTATTCTTAGTAAAACAAAAACTTTTACCTTCGGTTGAATTAATGTACAACCAACTATACGTATCGAAAATATCGTCACCCTGTTGCTTGCTTGCTTGTCGTTACTATCCGGTCAGTCTTGACATCTCCTGATCGTAGCTTTATTCACAAATTTCCCTGCAATATGATTATTCATTTTCGCTGAAACTATTCTATTTCTAGAACGCAATAATCCTCAGCTGTATCTTGTTAGCGCGCGCGGAACCACCGGTTACCAGTATGTATTACCACGTACATTCTTATACATCAAACATATTGTTAATTTTACAAATTTTCATTTGAAAAAATTACAATTATACTCTGCTTACAGCAGGCTTCTCCATCACAGCGGATAATGCTTACGAATACAATAGTAACGTTGTTAAGGATGCCCACAGAGAAAACGCGGATTTTTACAACAGCGGGAATAACGGGCACCCCCTAAGCAGTGGCAGGAGCCAAGGAAGCCTCGAAGAAAGTTTACGAAGCAACTCTTACAATGGGTTTTCACCAAACTCTCACAGCAGTAGCTATCAAGGATTTTCTAGTAATGCCCGTGAAACTCTAGGCGCAAGTCCTTATTTCATAAATGATCCAGCCCAATCATCGTTCGAGGGTTACGCGAATACCAATACCAATGGCGATTCCACCTTCGGTGGATATACCCAAAGTGCAGATCAAACGGTGTCAGAGTTCAGTCAATTCGCCAACAACAAACAGAAAAGTCCAAGCTACACAAGATTCTCAGACAACCTGCCTGCCACCTCGAACGCAGCCAGCTTTCCTGAACTAGCTTCTGAAAGTTCTTCTCTCAGAGAATATGCTGCAGATGCTTTTAGAAGCCATGGAGCATCAGGAGGATACATGGACGGCGATCAAACATTCAGCAGAGAACCTTCCAGTTTGTTTAATAGTCCTACCAATGATTATTCTTATGGAAAACATAAGGAAAACATGTTTGCAACAAGTAACAGCAATAAGTACACAAATGATGCATACACCATGCATCCTGAGACCCGTTATGTAGGAGGAAATCATGCAAATGCGGGAAGAGATTATGGATCTTCAATGTATTTACCAAACTCTGGTAGCAGCATGTTTAATAATTTAAGAGGAAACTCTGATTTTTACAGTTCAGGAAAATATAGTAAATACAACAAATACTTAGGCGAATATGCTCCTCATGTCGGTTTGAATTACCTTTCGAAAGATCAAGAGCCTGATCATTTGTTTGGTAATTATGGAAAAGTAAAAGCTGCAGCATTGAAAGATGGCAGGCCAAGCAGTTATGGCTCACAAGCTTATCTTGGCGGACCGTCGCATCTAAGTAAAATTGCTGGAAGTTACAAGGTCAGGCCAAGCTTCATGAACTATGCAAGCAATTCTCCAATTGGTTATTCTTCAATGTCAAGTGTACATAGTAGTCTCAATGGTAACAATTACATGGACAATCCTATGCTTAGAAGATACAGAAGCAGTAGTGGATATATCCCAGGACATGGAAATATATATTCTGGTTATTATTAACAGTCTTTGTGTGAGAGGTGTGATGAGCATGTTGTATTGTGTACATATTTATTGTATGACTATTTAAAGATAAGTAAAAACGTTATTGTTTATATGTTGTTTAAAATAAAATTATTTAAAAAATCCTTTAATATTTATGATTTTGAGAAACTCATTTTAATTACGGTGGAGTTCGTGGAAGCTTTGGTTTGGCCAGAAACGCTTCTTCTCTTTCTAGTTCAATCTCCCGAGTCCATGAAATACTGTCACTAACAGCTTTATTGCAATCACTGGTATTCCTACAAAGTAACAGTAAATAAATATACTTGATTCATTCTTTAAAATATGTCATGGAGTAATGTGCAATAATTTTCAAAGTTGAAGAGTGCATTGTGCTAACATTGTAATCTTGACTCACAGTGATGCTATACTGCTGAGCTTCTGCATAACTGAAAAAGTACAACAGTTAATTAATAAGAATATTGCGGAGTTCGTACATGCTACACTATAAAGAACGTGAAACATTTAATTCTTTCCTTCCCGGAGGCACTGCCACGCGGTGTACAGAACTCATTGATCTTTGATGAAACTTAAGTCAATTTAGTAAATTTTTTTACAAATAAACAAGTCCGTTTAACACAAAGTATAACAATAATTAAATGTATGTCATACGGAACTTCACTTTCGTTTACATGCTCCAATTTTCCCAAGATCATGATCAAGTGTACCTTTAAGAGAAAGTTGCAGAGCTTTCACTACTTGTAACTTGGAACTTGTAACTGATCTTGAAAACACTTTTTACAATTGATGTGTCAAACGTGTTCAGAATATTAGGTGTTTAGAAGTTTGTAATCAACTAATTAGTATTGATAGTTGTTTTAATATAATAAATACATGATACTTGCATAGTATCTGCTCACCTGTTGAATCAGCTGCACTTCCAACTTTTAATATCGTTGAAGATGCAAGGCTTGTTTTGCTACTTTTCCTACAAAAATAAGTATACATATACCTTATAGTATTTCATTTTAGTATTAATGAAATTACGAAGTTATAAAAATGACGCGATGTTAGTAGTACATATTATTGTAATGATATTGATATTGATAGTAAGATAAAAATAACATAATTATTAAACATCTCGTCGTATTATGTTCGTTTTGATAAAGTAATGACCAACTTGGACGATTGATTTTCATACAAATATTCAGCACTTTCACCGACTTCATTTACATTAACTTGTTCTTCAATTTTTTTCAAGTGGTTTAAATATGTATTTGAGTCATTCTGGTTGTAATTTTCAATTGAATATTCAATACTTCTCAAAGTACTCTTTCTATTAGATGGAGAGTTCCATGATTTATTTATTTTTTCTCTACTAATTTGTTGACCCTTAAAAATATTGACCTTATTATAAGATGTTCATTCAATATGTATCTACCAGAATCCAATTGAAGCAATAATGTATTTTAACAACAGCGATGTATACTCTGATTTAAATACCTTGGACAGAGATACTAATTTGGGTGTACGTAATTTTGAACTTAAATGTGTGCTTTTTGTAGATTCTTGTATCACCATAATATTATTTTTGTTTTTTACCTGATACATTTTAGCTATAGGTCTTCTTTGAAAGACAATAATTTTATTAGATATTACGTTGAAAATAATTGTTGCACCGACATCACCACAGTACCTTGATAAATCTTGTCCATGTAACAATGATGCACGTTCGTAATGTAAACTTTTAACTTGTTTTTCAGTATCATGTACAACGGAATACGATGATATTTCTGAATTCATTTCCTTATTTTCAGAAGTTTTCAATAAGGTAGTGTAGCATGCTACGAGTAATGATTCTCCACATAATTCGCCATAGTTATTTTTCACTGGGTCGTTTTCTTCTAACTCGTTTTCCAACACTTCAAACTCTTCCTGAAGAGAAGTGTTCTATTTAAACAATAATAAACAAGTCGGTATACAAATCACTACTCACGTTATCATTGTCGGTAACTTCCTCACTGTCTGCTGTAATGGCAATCTCACCTCTGTGTATTTTCAAAATATGTTCCAAGTGTTCCCTAGTATTATTTTATTATTGTATTTTTCATTTTGAAATAATATAAGCTTCGTGTAGAGTGGAGAGTGTAGAGTATCAAAAACATATTTACCTTGCTTCGCCATCTTTGTACTTGCTATATTGTTCTAAAGTAGATGAAAATTTCATCTTCTTTGCTTCTTCATTAATAGCATGATTTCTTAAAAAATTGTTTAATGCTCCAGTAACATAAGGCAAGGTCTAAGAGATACATGCAATATTAAAATTACGAATTGTCCAATTTCCATAAAGTGAAGTAAATAATTTAGCGCTTACAGAAGAATGATCTATTACAAGTAGATTAATCAACGTCGATAGAAGTAAAAATGCCAGTGCGGATGCTCTTCTTTGAGCAATTTGATCTAATGATAAGTTCATTAATAGAGCAGTAGCATACTCTAATCGATAGGAGTCCATGATGCGACAATGATCGTGTAAATGAGAGATTAACCACTCTACTAATCCATTTTCTATCATATATATTCTTTGCTGTTTACGCAATGATAACTTTTGCAGCATTGCTATCATCATGTTACAGGTAAATGTGTCTATGTCATTATCAAGAGTACTTTTTAAGCATTTGAATACCTGCAGTATTTACTTTATTATTTCATAATTCTAAGTAACAATATATGCAATGTTCGTAAGGGTTTAACATACCATGTCAACAACTGCAGAATCAAATGATAAGTAATCTCGTCCACACCTAAACGATGCTAAAGCATTTAATAATCTTGTGGTTGATTGTTGCAACGGATGGGGCATAATAATATTGTCTGGCGTTAATAAATATGGTAGGACAGACGTGCCTTTATAGCTTGCAATTTGTCCATGAAGCCCCAACAGATCTTTACTTATGTACTCGTGCACTGCTTCTTCTCTTTCTCCAGGTTGTGCAAGTGTTATTTTCTAATTATACAAGGCATATTTACTTTTACATTTTTGCTTGTTATCAGGAACTAATACACAAATACTGATTGTCTTACCCTTCGTAGTGCTTGCAACAGAAATAATTTAGTTTTCATACTTCCATTTATCAAATGCAACTTGATCTTTTTGAAGTTCAATAATTTTGGAGGTACAGGTGTGGTATATGGTATGGAATCTATGACTGTCTTCATTTCAGAATGTGATTTATCTACCAATGCTTCTGAAGAGCACTGTGCACACACAATGAATAATAATAATATAATATAATTATACATACACAAGCATTAATATAACGGTTACTTACATATGAATTATCTTTGATATTTTGATTGAATAAGTCTGGGAAAATTTGAATGCAAGTTTCTAGCATAGCTTGGAAATCAATAGTTTGACCCTTCACAGAATTTTCTAAAGCTGTTGTTAATACTCTCGCGATGCTCATTAATTTATGATAATCGGTGTGCAGTTTATGAAACCTTATCTTCAAGTTTTCATAATTAGAATGAACAGTATATAAGTAGGACTTTGTTACAGCTAATTCTTGAGTACATTGCATTAACTTTCGATTGTTGATAACCATATGTGACGAATGGACATCTTCCTCTGTAGAACAAATTATTGATGCTGTCTGCACACTTCTATGGAAAAGTGATTACGATATGAAGCATCAGACCTCTAATAGATTTAATGAGTATCGTCAGCAACATATTTGTATTACCACTTACTTTGATTTTTTAGTGTACTTTGTATCACTGCGTAAAGTATAATGCTTATCAAGTTCATCGTCTTCTATAAAGAGTGGAATATTTCTCTCATTTGGTATGATTGGTACATTTTTATTTCCAGTTATTTTCTTGGTAACACAGTCTTTTTGTGATTCTTCTAATACAGATCTCCGATCTAGAGGAATTTTTTTTAAGTCTATATTATCATATTTTACATCTTTGAAATTCTGAAAATTCAACAAACTCTTATAAATTATTTTGTAAAAAAGTAACTGTTATTCTTACAAAACCGCATACTTTGTTTACTTGTTGTTCACACTTCTCAAGAAACAGAAGCAAGCTTTCTGTTAGTTCATCGATCCAATTTTTTTCGAATATTTTAGACAGACTTGGTTCTGTGTATGGATCTTCGATAAAAGGTAACGCAAAAAAGGGTCGCAATTCTCCATCATCCTCCAATTCTTTTCCAGTTGTATTTAAAAATGTGTGCAATAGTTTCATACTATCATGCATACCTTTTTCTATTTCAGTCATACAATTCTGTGTGTTATCAATATTTAATCAATTACTAAATATACACCAATGCTGGTTTCATTATCTTTATCATTAATATTAAATTTCAACAAAACATATACATGTCACAGTTTAAAGAAAAAACATGAATTGATAAAAATAATTTCTTAAATACATTTTGATAAAGTATGAAGGTATCTGAAGTTCCTTTAACAGAAAAAAACTAAAGTAAGTGAAAACAGACTGGTGAAGAAATAAATTCAAATACTGTATTATGAACAATTGAAGTTACCTCTTGATGGCTTTGATGATTTATAGACATAATAGAATTAACTGCAGTTGTTTGTGTATTGTCTATATAATCATACAAATTAGAATTACTGTAACTTATCGTATTATCATAATAACTTAAAGTATAATCTCATGTTATTATTACCTTTTTGTTCATACAAATGTAAAAGCATTATACGCTTAGGTAATACTGTGAAATATACATGCAAATTCAATGTTAAAATTTTATATGCTTTTGTCTGTTTAACAGTTTCAGGTATCAGCGAATTCCATAACTAAAAACAAAAAATTTTTGTTCATTGATTATATTGTACAATTACTTACTTGGAATTCAAATATCATTGTACATTAAAAAATGTCCTCCAGTCTCCTGCTTTGAAGCTTAACAATATCTTTTGAGAAGCTCTTGCATAAGCTTCATTATCTGTTTTTGAAGCTGTTGAAAAATTGTTGAAACCCCTTAATGCAGCTTCAGCTATCAATATCCCAGCAGTATCTTCAAACTTATGATCTAGAAGAAACTGCATACAATTTTTAATACAATTGGAAAAATTAAAAATAATACCATATTACTAAAAATTGAAATGTACAGTTTCACGATATAATAAATATTTACAAAATTTTATACCTGATGAACAAGTCTCAAATTTTCATCGTCCAATTGGCGTGTTGTATGACTATTATCCATTTTGTCTTTTTATTTGTCTAAACAATGATGGAATGATATATATGTACATTAAAATTATTTCCGTTCAATACCTATTTATTTATATGTACATATATATATATATATATATTTACATAGTTCTAAAAGATTTCGATTTTATACATAAAAAGACGGAGGATATGTCCTTACATAAAATTGATTTTATGCAAACAATCGTTGCCGAATGATTGCAGCGGTTCACTCACATATTTAAATACATATATAAGTAGTATGGAAATATTTATTCCAGCTACTCGAGAAATATTTAATTACACATTGCAGATGTTCATCCCATGGAAATAATTTATTTAAGTCTGAAATTGGTAATTTATTGTAGCTTAATGAAAAAGTAAATAAATTTATGTTTATCATACGGTTATGGTCAACGATCAATTTCCGTTTTAAAAATGATAAATAAATGCATATAAGTATCGTTTAAAAAGTTCCACTTTTTAAACACCTTGTACATATATATACATATGCTTTTGTTTTTTTACTGTGGCCAGTTGACAATGATTAATTTAATCTGAAAAATTGTTTCATTACAAAAAGCACATAAGGTAGTTGTCGCAAAATTTTTTAACTGTTTCTATAATTATATCATTTTATCCATTACATAATGGAAAAGTATAACGGAAATGTTGTTTCAAAGGTTTGTTTTACTTCAATTAACATTTATAATGGAGGTTATATACAAATTCTATGCTCTTAACAATTTTTCTGTTACAGGTACCAAACTTGGCAATCTATATACCAAACTTTATAACAGAAAAGGAAGAACTTGAAATTGTAAAACATGTTAATAAGGCTCCTTTACCAAAGTGGACCCAGTTAAGTCACCGTAGACTACAAAATTGGGGTGGTATTCCACACATCAAAGGAATGATAGCCGAGGATATACCAACCGTATGTATTCTACAATATGCATATAATGTACCTAATGTATAAGATTAATTTGAACAAGAAGACACACAGAATGATGTAAAAGAAAATTGTACTAACAATAAGTTTTCAGTGGCTTCAAAAGTATATTGATAAAGTGTCATCCTGTAATATCTTTGAAACAAACAAGTTACCCAATCATGTTCTAATTAACGAATATTTACCTGGACAGGGAATAATGGTATATAACAAAATAACTATACATGCTTTTGTTATATTCATAGTATAAATTAACCAATACAAAGCGCAATACAAGATGTATATTTACTAGGCACACTCGGATGGCCCACTCTTTCATCCCATTGTAACCACTATTAGCTGTGGCTCTCATACTCTTCTTGATTTTTATAAAAGACTGGAGAGCTCCGAGGTTATAATGATTGCAGTATATAATAATTACATTTATATTACAGATTTTAATAATACAATTTGGTTACTAATCTATATTCTATTCTCTTTTATAGGTGCAACAACTTAATTTAGAATTCAGTTTTCTGTTAGAACGTAGAAGTCTGTTAATTCTCCAAGAGAATTTGTACCATCATTACTTACACTCAATTGCAGAAAGAGATACAGATGTTATTTCAAAGTCTCTAATAACAAATTTAGATCTATGTGGAGATCAGTTTATAGAAGGACAAACATTAAAACGGGATATTAGATTATCTTTAACAATCAGACATGTTCCTAAAACAACTAAATTAAAACTGAAAATCAATTAATGAGCTTACCTATACATATATACTTGTATGCATGATATTTGCGGTTAATAATTCTCTTCTTTTATTGTACAAGATTTTTGAAAGTAGCAACATTGTATGAAGTAGTTGAAAGGACAATGCAAGTTGGTAAACATATGTATAAAAAGTTTAAATTCAGACACATTTTTGTATACACAATACATCATTACATCAGGATTCTTCAGATTTAGAAGGCACTGATGGGTTGTTAGTGTCTTCATAGTTCTCCAGACTTACATCCATTATTTCTTCATCACATTCATCCAACATTCCTTGCAATGAATGTATAGAAGATATTAAAACATGGAATTGTTTACGTCTCATTTCCAATTTGTGTTCTAATTGCTCAGACTTCTCCTACATATTTACATAATTATATATTGATTTTCTTAATTTTGTAACATGCTGTATGGTAATGCAAATGTTGTATACCTTTAATCTGCCTAATTCTTCACGTAATGTAGCAAGTTTTAAATTTGTTTCTACCCTATCTGGTTGCTCATTTATAACTTTTGCTAATACATCGTACTCTATTCTGTTTTTTCTTACACGCTTTGCTTCCTGCAATTCTGCCTTTGTTCTTTCTATATCCTTTTTGGCTTCTTCTATCTGAATCTCTATTTCTTTTGACAACTTCTCATAGCTCTTCAATTCATCTTGGCTCATATTTGAGACCAGTCTGGATTTCTTTTGTGCAAATTCACACTGAGCAAGTTGTGATAACATCCTTTCGTGCAGCGTGTTATCCACATCAGGATTATTCACCCATTTTATAAACGATTTCAGAAGCATGTTAATTCTACGATCATCCCCAGTTCCATCTCCATCTATGAGTAATCTCCGACGTATTACCTCTTCTAAGAAAAAACAACATATTCCTAAATATATTCGAACTTCATAACAGGTTATCATTATGTGTAGAATGCAAACTCACCGTCAGACATTTTACCCTCTCCACCACACAGAATGACGAATAAAACAATCCGAATATTGTAATATTTCCTACAATTTCTACTAATTATTTATCATTCATATCCATACATTATAAAGTACTAAGTAATCAATGGTAATCAAGAAAAGGATAGTTTGAACTGTTTGAACACAAGCAATGGTATTGAACAGCATTGAATGGTACAAAGAAGGTATGGGGAAGCACGAGCTAAACTTAGTATATTTTATTAGACATTTATTTCAAAGAGATTAAATTGTTTGTTACAACCCGCTACATCAATGAATTTAGTACTATAATTCTCAGAAAAACAACATCTTATCAAGACTGAATGACTGGGTGTATAGTTTTGCAAAAATCACAAACATAACAAAAATCTAATATGCATTAAAAACATTTCGCTACTGATCGATTATTCAATCTTTTGATAGTAATATACCTAGTAATTCTTTTTAACCGACAATTACTGTAAATTCATTTTTCAAATCGATATGCCAGTTTTATAAACAAGAAACGATGAAAACAAACGTGGCGCGAAATTCAAACATTATAATGAACTTTAAAGACATTATTAGTGGAAGGACAATATTGGTTAGAAATTATTTTTAACGTTAATGCAACATCATTGAGAGAGATTGTAATTACGCATTCTGAATTTTTCATAGTGCCTCGTATATTTTTTGTTTCTGCCATTGAATACAACGGCATAAGAGAGTACTCTCATTTTAATTGGTGACCTCGAAATGAGACGGACAACGACCTTTGTCCGTCGGTGCACCATCATGGGTGTACCTATCTTTTTTATTATAGAAATTTTGCAAATACACCTTAACAGTGCAATCTGCGGAAGATGGCGCTCGATTAACACGATGCCTTCACTTACAGGTGACGTAGCGCTATCTATACGATTTCAGTAAGCTAAAACGCTTTCCGTTGTGGATCAAGGAAGCAGTGAGAAACAACGGCGGAAGTGGGGATCGTGCGCCATTTTCTATTTTTGCATAGCAGTGAACTAGTGTTGTGTGTGTACATTTTGTGTGATATAAATCGATGAATTACTAATAATTGGATGGGGGACGTGTCGTATTAATGAAATGATCTTCGAGAACACGTGCTTCGAATCTCGCGCAATCAGGTTTTTTTGCGTTTGTCTTCTGTATTATCGTGCGTAAGCCCGTACAAGCTCGTAGCACGTAAACACTTTTTCTTCATTTCTCTTTTCAACGAGTGAGAGTGGCTGATCTGTCGATATTAGAACTGTACGGAAGCGATTTTAGCGAGTACTCGAGCTCGCCCGATCAAAATAATTCTTTCTTCGCTTAATAGAAAAAACCGCGATATAGAAGGGAAAACCAATCTGTGATACTAAACAGTACTAAGGTATATAGCTAGGTATAAACTCTACAATTAGATATACGTGTGTATGGCGTATGAGACGTAGATAGATCACATAAAGGATCTAGAAAACATTAAGTCCATATAGTGTGAGCTGTGAATTTTACCTTGTTCGAGGAACAAACCTGGTCAAGAGCAGAAGAATGTCTCAGGAATCTGTAACAAATGACAAGCAACTGCCAACTCCAAAAGATGAAGGTATATGGTTTGTTGGTTTTCCATCTGATTCTCTTAATTGTGTATATAATAGTTCTTGAAATAACATTCTTTCTTGTATTTACATCCAAAGATTGATTTCAATCTATATTCTTTGTGCATTAAACTAATCTCGTTTGTCTTTCTGATATCTTTATGTTGACTATTGTATTGCAAAGATTATGTCTTTAGTAAAAAGGAGTTGCCATAATAATTTAGCTTCTTAAATAAATTTTCAGGTAATTTACTCGAATGTATCTGTGTTTATATCTTTCCAGGCTCCTTAAGTTTTTATACTTTGTATATGAGTAAAAGTTCAATCTAGGTATTATACTTGTACATCAAAATTATCCATGAAGTATTTATCTATTAACAGAAACAGTAATATTGAACTGTTTTTGTAGAAATAAATAAATTTCTCGATCAAATATCATTGATGCATGTAATAATGTATTTCTAATTATTTGAACACATGTAAATTTTGTGAGATGTAATTTAAGAAATTTTAATGTAATGTATTTACAAAGTAGACCTTTTTTTCTCTCGCATATAGAATTAAACAATATTTTCAGAAAATTCTAAATGTCCGTGTGAAATATATTAATCAGAATTTGTAAAAGTCAAAGATCATAAAAGTTTCTTGGTAGATCTATACTGTTATAAATGCAGTATTACAGGTAGAATATACAAAACTGAGGGTTATAATATATCATGTTCGAAATTATTACATAATAACTTTAGTATCCGTCTAATCAAAACAGTTACATTTATTCAACATAGGAATTCGAATTAAAATGTTAAATGTATGAATAGTTGTTACAATTGTTTATTGCATGGTGTTTGTTTGACTGTCGAACGATATGTATCGCATTCGATCGTCCTTCTCCGCGAAATCAGTTAGAAATTACGTTTAAACGTTATCCCAAAACAGAACCAATGAGACGTAAAGTTGACAATAACGTTCTCGGGGACGTACTTGATTGGATTGTGGACAAACTCTTGCCGCCTAAAAACTGTCGGCATCCAGCCAGTTTGTATCGTGCTGTACAACGTGTAGTATCAAAATTAAGAATTTCGTTTCTTAGGCGCACGGTTACATGGAAGTAAAAACAGGATAGGATAGACGATAGTTTCGCATACGAAACAGAGTTTCGTTAATTGTGCATAAGTACACGAATAATCATTTGATCATTTACGATATATTTTTACAGAGATATCGTGATTCTCCGATAAATTTTCTTTTATATACCTATCTATAGTACATATACTCAGATACATACATGTATCGTTCGTTATTTAAAAGTGATTAATTTCTTCTAAGTGAAAAAATAATCGCGAGGGAACATCATATTCCCTTTTAGAGAGAAAGGGAGATTTATACATTTCGACATACATACAATATACATAGAATACATATACATACATATACGTATTTTATTTCGTACTGTTTTTCGGTTGTACACTTTATTAACCGGTTCGAACGGTAATATTCCCTTGTCCGTTTCGTCCTTCGGGGCATAAACATTCGTTTAACCGTTTGGTACGATTGAAACGGATAAAGTGTTCGTCGGTGAAACAACCGCGAAAGAAACGTTGAGAAAGAAAATCGTCGGGAAAATGAAATTGGAGGTGCATAGCGTTATTTCCTCGAATTGGTACCGGAGACCACGGAAACGTCCGCTGGTAGGACCGACCGGATCTCCGTTTCTAGACGCGACTCTAGTCATGCAAACTAGAGCCTGCCGATGGTTTCGTAAAAACAAATCTGTAAACGTTATTAAACGAGGGACCTTCAGTAAGTAAGATGGCTCTTTAGAAATTTTTCGAACGATGTCGCGAACCGTCACCTACGAATTTAAATCTTCATTCTATAAGTACAGTATCGGTTTACTTACGCCAATGCCGAACTGTTCGTTAGAAGTTTGTATGTACACAAACCGAACAGCTAAATCAATTTGAAAATCATTCCTCGAAGTGTCTATGTATAATACATTCATTGGATGTTTTCTTGTATACATTTCCATTGAAGTTGATTCCTTTGGAATTTTAAATACAACGATCTTCCAATATCTATTCAATGTATACGCATACTATGAATGCATATTTATTTGAAAAATTAAGAAAACCTACCGTAACTGAATCAGTGTTATTGATTGTAATGAGACAATAATAGGTAATTATATTACATATTCTTTTTGATATTTTTCAGGAGATGAAGCAATTATATCAATGTCGGTGGCTGGGGAGGTAACCGACACCTCGATTATGGAAGTGGGCCGTTCAAGACCTCAATTTCAGTATTCCCGGGTAAGTAATATCCATCGTAAGTATTATTATTTCCGTGTATGATAAAACTAAGAATCACCTTGTCTAAGTCTGTTTTGTGTGTCTGATTTCAGGAGGAGTTAATGGTAATAAAGACCTTGCCGTTATCGAAAAGGAGGTCTGATTTTTTAGATACCTCGTATAACAAGTACGTATAATATCGTCGAAATTGATCAGTGTCGATTTCGTTGTAAACTATATTAATTTTGTTTAATCTTTTAATTATTACCAAGTTCACGCGGTGTATGGGATCCTGAACGTTGGCATTCAGGCAAGAAGCGAAGCGATACACCACCAAAGGATGAAAGAACTGGACGTGGTGATCAAGTTACGGAGAATCACGCGAAACGTCGTAACGGAGACCCGCGAGAGCGAATCCGTAAAGAACAAGATGGCATTGTTCTAAGCCCTCAGCGTAGAAGTTTTAATTCGGGTTGTTTCGTTAACGTGAATCAACCTTCGAACCGACGCCCTGAGAGCCCGATAGGAAAGACGGAGGTAGAATACCGACTACTATTCCCTGTAAAATTCTCACCCGTTATTAAGTTCTTAGCCGTGAAGTTATAGTCTGGCATATATGTTTCCAGGTCAGTCATAGGGAACCCGTTCGACGAATAGGAAGTGGTAGGATATTGACTCGCGACATTTGGGACTTTAGACCTGAAAATGAGAAACTCGAACCGGAACGTACAGATTTCGCTTTTCGATCAGGAGCGACTGGTGGTACATCTATACGTGATCGTGATAACAGAGATACTCGTGACGGAAAGGATCGAGAGGTTGTAAGAGAGAGGGATCGAGATAATTTGCGTGAACGAGACGAGAGGAATGAGCGATACGAACGAAGATCCTTCGGTCGCGACTACGGGGACAGGGAGAGGGAACGTGATCGAGACAGAGGAGTCGAACGGAATGACCGCAATCATCAACCAGATCGTGAGAAAGACCGTGGGCGAGAACGAAGATATAGCAACGATCGTAGGCGAACTTACAGTGAGAATCGCAATGACGCGGATGAACCAGAGTGGTTCAGTTCTGGACCGACGTCTCAACATGACACCATCGAGTTAAGGGGTTTTGAGGATATTCCTGAGGAGAAGGCCATAAGCAACAATATCAGCACGAAAAGCAAAAAGCAAACTTCGGTACAAAAGAAACGCGGGAAAAAGAATTCATTGGAGAAAGATGAAAAGCAAACGGAAAGTTCAGCCGGTCCTAAAGGGCGTAGCACACCGACTACGATGGATCAACCCATAAATATTGTAGCTGCACCCCATTCACCTATCTCAGAACAAAATGAATCGTCCTCGCTTACACAGAAGACAACTCACGACTCCAACGAAAGTACTGTAACCGAGGCGAGTTGTGTAACAACTGACAACTCGAGTACTGCGAATCAGAACCAGCAAGACAGCCATCCTGACTTCAATCTCGATGACTTTTTGAAGTCTGATACATTCCCTGGAGTTCCCGGCCTCTTAACTGTACGTTATCGAGTATAAAGAGTGTTATACTTGTTAATTAATTATGTATAATATGTTGCATTCGAAAGGATTATACATTGTTTTTCATTTTATAGAATGGAGTTGGTTCGAATGGGGGATCTTGTTCACGATTCAGTCAGTGGTTCAAGAGGGAAAGTCCAGTTCAACAAGTCGATAGTCGCAGAACTTCCATTCAGGATGATATACTGAACAATCTTCTTAATGATATTACCGAGCCAAATATTCAGATCCCATCAGTAACTGAATCTAACACGTATTTCGCTCCTATTTCTCCTGCCAACACGACTACGAACACTACCACCTCCACCACGGGAGTGAAACTGTTGGAAATGTTGCAACGCGGGAATAAACCAAGTCAGAACGGCCAAGGAGATGCAACCAGCAACGTTGTACCGTTAATGAAGAACGCTTCTATCAAAGATATGGGTTAGAATTTGCCAAATTTTCATTTCAATCCTAGAGTGTAATATGGTGGATGAGACTGGAAATTTTTTATAGAAGTTGGTGGAAAAGTTGTGCATAGTCTGGAGGAATTAGAAGCACGTATGCGAGGTGGTGCTCCTCCACCCACATCTGTAACTGATCAGCCTCGTGTAAATAAGACTGAAGAAGATCTCTCTGCTTTTAAAAAATTGGTAATTTAAAGACATATCAAATATTATAACCGACTAACATGATTAGTATGAGTCAGTAAATTATTTCGTACATACATACCCTAGCTTGCTCAAGTAACTGGAGGACAAGCTATACCAGCAGCAAATGGTCCTATTTCCCAGAAGCAACCGGTAACATTAATGCAAGTAAGATTTATAATTTTTTCCCTTACGCGATACATTCATACAGTAATTTTCTTCTATGTTAGATAACACCTTATCCTTTGCAGTTGCTTAATTCGCAATTGAAAACCCAACCAATTGCTTCTCAGCAGTCGGTTCCAGAGCCAAATCACTCGACATTCAATCATGTTGGTTCTTTTGGACCAACTCAACATTCGCATCAGGCACAAATGCAGCATGAGAACCTGATGAAAGTGTTACAAATTCAACAGGTTGGTATCGTGAAATTTCTGAAATTGATGAAACAGTGTTTCTAATTACTTTCATTGTTACAATAGCAACAGAAGCAGCAACAGCAGCATTCCGATATGTTGTCAATGATGATGGGTGGTCAACGGATGTTGGGAGTAAGTCCTGTACCTCCAGACATGCAGATGATGCTTAACAATGTTCCAACAAGTCAAGAATTGCTAAAGAGACCAGAAGCTCAAGCCATTATTCAGGGTCTTCAGCAAGGAGAAATAACTAGGCAGCATCTTATACAACAATTGCAGGTTACTTATAATTTCGGGATCATTGTTAGTTGATTGTGAAGTTTACAGAATTGATCGACTGTTTAGAATCGTCTAATATTTTTATTCTTTCAATACCATTTTTGTACAGAATCCAGCCATGCAACACCGTCATAGGGAAGTTTTAGTAAATATTTTAAAAATGTATGGTGGTACCACACCTCGTACAGTTAGTCCACATCCTAGTGCACCTACTCCTCAAGACCATATCCTGCAACAGATGTTGTATCAGCAACAACAACAACAACACAGGATTCCATCCCCCATGAATAATGGTGAGTTATAGTTATTGCTTATTTCAAGCAAACATTATTATTTTTACCTATACTCGCGATGAAACATAACTTTCTACATTTCTGTGTTTGCTTTTCGTACATATTATTCGGAACATCTGATTTTTCATTTCCTTATTCTTAAGTTCTTCCAAGTTAGGTGATTTGATTTTACAATTATTTTCGATGTATTTGTGTTCTTATTGCATTCTTTTTTTACCGGAACTAGTATGAAATCGTTGTGTGTACTTTTATCATTAATTACAATGAACATTAAGTTACCTTTTTATATTTCTTACGAGCGTATAGTACATATGTTATAAATATGTATGGTGATGTTTGGAATGCAGCTTGTTGTCCACCTTCAATTATATCTCCAAATTTGACCGCTAGTCCCAGTATATTAACAGTGCAACATCCAGGTAGAATATTAAACATAACTGATTTTTTTCCTCCTTTTTTCATGTTGTTGCTTTGTATTAGTCAAGTAAATGGAATATTAAAAAAAATCACTAATTATATACGTACGCTTGAATTGAGTATTGACCGAACAGTTTAACAAAAATTTGTTTGGTCTGAATCATAAATAACTTTCTGTTTTTCTTTTAAATACTTTTCACTTTAAGGATTTACAATAAACTGTAACCCATTGAATCTTCCTTCCCTGTTATTGTTGTATCATTACGAAATGATAAGAATTTCACATAGCAAATTTTGTCATATATAGTTGAAATTATTTATGACTCAACCCAATTTGCTTCATATCATAAAGCGATTCCATAGTAAAAGACCTAATTTGAAAATTGTTCGTTAGATGATTCGTTGTCTTAAAACATGGATGATTTTTATATTTAACAGTGATACAGCACAGAGTTCCCTCGCCGCGGAAAATTGCTATGCATGCTCAGACTGCAATGCAAAATGCTCTAATTAAGAAAAAGTTGGAGGAGCAGCGTGAAAACTACCGTAAGCGACAAGATCAACAGGATCAACAGCAGCAACAACAGCAGCAGCAGCAGCAACAGCAACAAGCTCAACAAAGAGCGTCGAGAAGCGAAGCAGACTATGAGCCCAACGCCACTCGCTTTTACCCCGACATCAGTGTTACGTAAAATGACTGCCGATAAGGAGCCTGATGGTGCGAATCAGTCTAATAATCAATTAGAAACTGTTTTCTTCTACTCTCCTACAATTAACGAGAATCGTAACAATTATCGTAACGCGTATCAGCGCAGAAGGTGTACTGACTTACAAGTATCCACTTCCTCTGAGGGTGAAATTCAGCTTACTAGTCGTTACGCTAAAGAGCATGGTACTGTAGATGATGTCGGTGCTTCGCATTCGAATCCATTAGACGAATTAAATAACAACGACAATCTGGAGGTAGGGGAATCCGCGCTAAAGTCCAAGTATCTCTCTTTATTGCAACAAAATAAAGATACAAATAACAATTCGAATTCGAATACATCAGGGGACAGTCTCGTTGACGAGACTAAAAAATTAGTGAGTGAAAATACGCCCACTAAGGGAGCAGTAAAGGAGTCTGCTATGATAGATATAAGTAATACTAATAACAATAGTCCTCTTATCCTTGACAAATTATTGACTGAACAGTTTGAGATTGAAACGATAATAGTCGAGAATAATAAAATGATAGGGAAACCAGAAGAGAACAAGTTGCTAAATTCACAAAACAATGAAATTGTTATTTGAAACGTCGAGTGTTTGATAAATTTCACGCTAGGAACGGAGAAGAGATTTCCTGAATTTGTGACTATTATCCGATGTAACATTGCTTTTTATTTTTTTGTATTAAAACAAGTAATGAGAATTTTGTTTTCTTTCCTTTCTTTTTTTTTCTTTTTTTTTTCTTTTTTTGCTTGACACCTCTAATGTCTTTGAAAGCTGATTTGTCTGTAATTTTGCAAAAGTGATACATATAAAAATGAATCTTTTTAATTTTGAGTATAATACTAATGCCACAAACGCTAATATTATGAGTTAAAAATTTTGCATAGACCAATGCATGAACGTATTGCAAAAGAAAAGTATGTTGGAATAGTTTTAAAATAAAAGACTTTTATAAATACATTTCATGCTTTACGTTTTCCTTTACACATTTTCATTTTCCTTTGATACATTGCTTTGACATGATTTCTGCTTAAATGCATGTGCTTCCGCATTGTTTTTAGCTTTCATGACTTGACGTGGGCAAGGTGATTGCATGCATCACGAATTGAGTGACATTGATATCATTAGTATCAATTTGAATCATGGTGTACCATAGTTTCTTAAAGAATTTTTCCCTTTTAAAATGTTTCCATAAATCCAATGAAATATAAATATTAATTATAAAAAACAGTACCATTTTTCTTCTTTGTTTGGATACTATTCGTTGATTTATTTGATTTATTATTAAATTGTATATCAAAAAAGACAACACTATCTTATCTTTGGACCAATAAAATATATTGTACTATGTACTACGTGCTGTGAAAAAATTAAGCAAACATTTTTCTTATGATAGCTGAATTTAAAAAATGTTTGGAGATTTAACATGAAATTATGTGTATTTTAACAAACTTACATATTCTTCTGTATACTCACTAGTAGTATGTGTTAAAAAAAAAGAAATCTGAAGTTTCTTATACGCTTGCTAATACATATTGTATCTTACATGTTTTTAAGTACAATGTAATTTGTGAATATATTTATAAAAGTCTTTTATTTTAAAACTATTCCAACATAGTTTTCTTTTGCAATACGTTCATGCATTGGTCTATGCAAAATTTTTAACTCATAATATTAGCGTTTGTGGTATTAGTATTATACTCAAAATTAAAAAGATTCATTTTTATATGTATAACATGGTCTAATAGTCCCTTTTCTTTTTTGTTATGTAGGTAATAGTAATGATTCGTCGAAATTGGCAGCTCAGTCTCAAGCATCTCAAATACAACAAATGCAATCTGCAGTTCAATTACTGACACAAGGAGTTCTTTCTCGGCATAATACATTACGACCACAATCTGTGCAGTCCACATGGTCGAATCCAAGTATTAAACAACATCCAGGTAAACGTGTTACATATACTTACATACTAACATTGATATAAATAAATATTTCGAGAACTAATTATGTATCTGTTTCTCATTACAGGCCGACCAATAGTGAAAGGTGGTGGTGGTAATAGTGGTAATCAATTTCAATATAGTGGGAACTCAGATTTCCAACAGCAACAACAGCAACAGCATAGAACGGTCTCAAGCGTGTATGGTAATCCAGCACGCTCAAAGCATACTATGACTACTTCTATACCCCATCACGGTGTTTCGCAGTACAACGTGGCTCATAATTCAATGATAAGCCAGAGGTCAAGTACTATGAACAACCAAATGAAAGTTCAGCAGACAGCAGCAACAACGGACACTTAATTCGCAAATGCAAATGGTTTTGAATCAAAACTACAATTCCAGTCGTACAGGTAACACGTAACACAGTATTGCGTAAATGAATAGTTTCACAATGTTTTATATTCTCCATACATATATATACACACTGATTTTATTTTTATATTTGTATTACAATACTTCATTGTTTAGCTCCTTAGTACACTGTTGCATTAACTTTATTATTCTGGAACATTTTCAGGTGTCTTCCCCTTGCCTAATCAAATTGCATGCAATGGTGTTCAAAAATTGGAATACTTAGATCTCACCCTTTAGCTGCTCCTCTTATTTATACCAGTCTAGACAGCATTTATCTTTGGATCGAACTTGAAGTAATAAATTCAATAGTTCTTTTAGGCTGCTCTTTTTCTCGCCGAACATGACTTACCATACACATTCTTCCGTATTATTAGACGGTTTCTTTTTACTAATGCCCAATTGTTCTTTATTCTAACACATTCGTGACCGGCGATTGTCGTGCGAGATGTTTAGCTGAACATCGCATATAATTTCTAATATAGTCTATAACTGAGTACCGCACGGATCTGCTATTTATATGTATGCGTGTGTGAATATAAATAATGTTACTTCTCAATACGATGCTTATAATCATTTACTGTTTAAATTTTGTTTAATTAAACATAAATGCATGTTGAAAGAATTTATGAAACATTACTGCCACTATTAAAATTGATCGAGCTTCTCAAAATTCATTGAATAGATTTTTTTGGAAACGAATATGATGAATTTACGGCAACAAAACTCAATAACATTTTTTACAGATTTATTTCACGTAATAATTTTGTGTGGTATTTATTAATACCTTGAATATTAAATATATTAAACAATATTATTCTTCACTTATTTATTAAATGTTCTCATATTGATTAGACAAATGAACATTGTATCCATTGGTTGCTATCTGGTGTGTTATACAAGCTTTATGGCTAGTAGTGCCACCAATTTTGAAATTACGTATGATTACGTTACCGGTTGCGAATATGTTAAAATGATTTATGTGATTGTTACTGTTTTCTAATTTTCTTATTACGACGAAACAGCACTGTGAATAAATATAATGAATTTTTTTCACAGATGGGCGGGTGATGCGATCGCAACAAATAAACATGCCCGTAGGTCGTCAAACGTCACCAGGTTTAGGATACGTAGGTGCGAATGGTGGCGATCTTTCACCAACCTCGAATCAGTTAGCAAGATGGTTTAGTCCAGAACTTCTTGCCCAGGCGCGGGCTGGTAAGCTTCCAGAGCTTGTCCAAACAAATGTTTTGTCCTTGGAAGAATTAGAAAGACTTCAACATGCATCGACTACAGTGCATAATTAGATTGATATTGTACCTTCTCATATTTACAATTGCAAGCAGGAAGGACTCCATTGGCAGTTACTGTTCTAACGAATTAAATCTTTCAAATTAGATGGCTTTTCATATGAAACACACAGTATGAAGATTCATTCTTATTAGAAAACAAAAGAAGAACAAGGAAAAGTTTATCCGAGAAACATAACAAAAAAATATTGTTTGCATACGCGAAGAAGTCACTTAGATAATAAACCTTAATGGGAGTAAGGTTTAGCAAAGTAATATACACCTGTGTCAGAAACATTTTTGGACACGTTACAGATCGATTCAGTAGTGTTTCTTATTATATGGGAACGATCTTTTGTTGTTTTTTTTTAAGTGTCTTACGACTTATTTGTAACAAATTTTACAAAGTGGGTGAACTAAAGAGTTACAAATGTACAGGGAAATGGAATAAGGTGTAGGATTGGAAGTAATGAACACAAAGTGAGCAATTCAAAGACGAGATTAAAATGAACAGCTTTCTATGGAGGACATTTGTTGCTTATAAGACTGAGAAACATGGAAATTCTTACTATTCACTCCGAAGAAGAAAATACTATTTCACTATATGCATAGTTTTTAAATGGCAGAATAGGAATGTTATTTGCCTGAGTACGAACAGCAAGTTAATTTACAGATTAAACTGTATTTCAAGGTCTAATGTTTAAAAATATTTCAATCTAAAATTATTCAAGTAACATTACGGAAATTATAACAATTAAAGATGATACTTTTTAATTAATTAATGCCATTTTTTGAAAAGCTTGCAGAGTCGATTGGGCAAATAGTATCTTGAGAACCTGAAAAACGTTGCAATTTGCAACACCTTCGAGTACAGTTATATATACAGAGAAACGTGTCATATATTATATAATAATTATATTATTATGGACAATGCGATCATATAAACAGAATGAACATGCAAGATACAAATACCGAGAGCGAGCACTCATCAAGTCTTGCGTATATTTAAAAAAGGAATATATAATATATACTTTGTAGAAGTGTGAGGGTACAGCGTTATTATCATGTTTGAAAGCGGAGGTTAACAATTAACCATGGCAGATATTATATCAGATGCATTTGCAGAATTTATTAGGAGGAAGGATAAATAAGAGACCACTCAAGAGACAAAGAGAGAACATTCCAACGGTAACAGAGAGACAAAATAATGAAAACGTATTTACAAACTTAAAAGATTTGAAATATCACTATGCCTGCCAACATGTGTTTGCATTATAATTAGCTTGTTATTTTTGTGATTACATTTTTCGTACAATTATAAGAAATATATTTGGCCTATAGAATGAATAATAATAATGCAGAAACTTGTTTTGCTTTTCTTTTTTGTTTTCAATTTTTCAGTTATATCGTTGATGATGTATAATCCGTAATGGAATCTCGTGTCACTTGCATGACACTGCATTTTCTATTCGTTTAAAAAAACACGGTTGTTTGTATACTTCATAATATTTATAAGCCGTAAAAAACATATTGAAGAAGCTAACTTAACATTAAAGTGAATAAAAGGTATTTTTCTACATTTATTTATATGATAGTAATTTTCATTGAATTATAAAATTCATGGACACCCATTAAATCTTGATTCTGTTTCACTATAATACTTCCAAAGTAAAATTGGTTTTTATATGCCGATATATTTATTATGTCTTTTTACTTATCTAAATCATTCTCACGTTTATTATTAAAAATCTGTTTTATATATTCTTGAAATCCTTGCTTATTAATTCTTTATAATTCTATGTACTAATTCCACATAAAATGGTTCTTTTATAGGGTTTTAAATTTACATCTAGAATGTTTTTCTCAAAATTTATTGTGCAATTTACAAAATTGTACATTAAATGTTGGTTGCAAAAATAATTTGTAATAAAACAATTGTCGTTATTGTGGCATAAATCAATGTAAAAAACAACTTGATTAGACTTAGACACAACATTTACAACTCTGCAGCTGTGCTGTAGATTCAATCTAATACTCCATATAAAAATTCGATTAAATGTTCTGGAACTCTCCAAGCACGTAATTTTCATTTAATTAACAATCAAAAATTAGTGGAATATGTAATATATTATCCAATATAGTTAGTGACATCCTTTTTGGTATTTTCAGTATTCTATAGTTTCTCAGTATGCAAAGGTATAATGTTTGGATCACATTTTTCATTGCCCAGTCAGTCTCTGTTCACTGTTTAAACTTACATCCGCGTCTGTAACTGTGGAAACCATAATATGTGAAAGACAAAGCAATACAAGTACTGCCAACAACAAATGTATTACATAGTGTTATTAAGTACCAAAAAAAGGAAAAAGAAAACAAAAACAGTGACATTTGTTCTGAAATATCACTTTCAGATAACGTTGCTATCTTAGGAGAGGCTATTACAATTGAGATCTATAAAATTTAAAAGAACAATTTAACAAAAAAAAAATTGTTCTTTATATATTAAGTAAATGGCATTTATGTTGGACTTCATTTCTAAGACTAGTAATGCTTGACCAATATTTGGTGGAAAACATTTATTACAAAATTGTAAGGGACTTTTAATTAACTTTTTTAAGAAATAAAAAAAGTACTAGTGTTTCCTGCTTTGTTGATCATAAACAGTGAAGAAATTCTGTCCCACAATGTCAACTTAAAGATTGTTTCATAATTAACAAATTTTTGTACATAATTCAAATCCTATGCAGACTTAAATTTATTGGTCCACACATTGGACTGATAATTTGTAAATAAAGTTAATAAATATTACATTATGTGAAATTTAAAAAAATCGTCACAAATAAATATACAAAGAACTGTAATTGTAATTTTAGTCATTTTATTTATTTATTGAACTGAATTGAAATTGATATAGTGGTAGTTAAAGTTCAGTACCTATTTAATGTATTTTAGTTTAAATTAATTTTTATTTTAAACTCTATTGCATCACGCTAAGTTTTTGTATGTTTAATTTAATTTATCTGAACAATGGTGAGCAGAAAAAGCGAGGCCTATTGTGAGGATTATTGTTTTTCTTTATAATAGTTATTAGTTTTTTTTATTATTTTTATATTGTTTAATGATCTCATGATGTAGTTCCTTTGCAACAAGACTAATAATAAGAATTTATTTAAACATTCATACCAATTGCAACAGTAATATAATCGTTACCCTATATACAAAAAATTTTGTTATGCATCACACAATTATGTAGATTTTACTGCAATTTTATTTCCGGTACGTCTGTTCAATGTTTATACACATTACATTAATTAATAGTTAGACGTATTTATATTCGGGGGAATTTTATTAGCTTCGGCTGTCTCCGGCAAGTTTCGTGTCTCTCTACACCGAGAATTCCCGACCATGCAAGCGGATATTGTGTGAGATATGTATGTATTTATGTAGAGAAGTTGCAAATGTCGGATCGTCGTGGCTCGAGGTGCATCATTCGTCCTGTCGTCGTACGATTTCGGTCACGTAATATTTCACATTAATGAATTTGTTATTTCAAGTAATAGTCTCAAGTTATCCGGATCTTTAATTAGTTTCCCTGTGGCAATTTGTAAAAGTAACTAAAGGAATAATGGAGATATTTACCAGACCTCAAACTGATCTGTCCATACGATTTCCTATGTCCACCACGAACACGAATCCCGCCCAATGAGTTCTTTCACAATAAACATCTTGTATGCGTACTTATTCCATTCGTTATTATTCATATAACACTAAGTAATTGTAAGTGGTTACGTTTCAAACAAAAGAGAAAGGCTTCAACATTCACTTTCCGTGTGATGTATGTTTATTTTTGGAATCCCAGATTAGCAGTTAATAGAAATGTTAGGATGCAATGTCTTTTATCGACGTTCCATTTGCGAAACATGTAAATAATAATCCATTTTGTGCTGTGACAAGTTCAAGAGTAAAACCGGTGAAACGATATGAATTTCACCTGACAGATATTAACCTCTTTACTTTGTTGTCGTAGTTGCCCTAGTAAAAAGAACAAAATAAAAACAGAAAATTTGGTTGTAAGTATGTGAACGTGAGAAAAGATGGACAGCATATGGCGGAAGATATATTGGCAGATCCATGTGAAATCATTTAGTCTAGCGCCATTAATGGCAGCCATTGTATACCCGTGCGCCCTTTCAGGGTTGTCATTTCGTTCGTTTCCCCAGAAGCAGTGCGATTATAATTAAAAGAAGGTATATTTTCTAATAAGAGCTTCTCTGTTCTCGTGTACGTCGCCAAGGTTATTACTGCTGCGACATTTTTAAGGTAATTGGAGATCCTTGGAAATGATAGATTCGGTTTTGATACGCAGGTCAAGTAAATAGTTAAATGTGTGATCTTCGTATTCGCATACGTACATGGTTATACTAATGACGTGTTACCTAAGTACGTTTGGAAGTTAATAATGCGAGATTCTATCGAATTATTGTCGTGGACCAAAAAACGGTGGCCATTCGACGTGTCAAAGCACGAGACATCGAGGTGTACCGAAATTTTAAGAGACCGTGTAACGTAGTAACTGCAAATTATTACACGAACGAGCTATCGTACAGCCCCGTAGCAGTTTTATCGAAAACGATGTTGGTTGGAACCATAGCCTCCGTTTCAAGGAAGACGAATTAACGATTTTGATGGCGTTGAAAGTGACACGATTTCGAGGTACATACATACATAGTTGTATGTATACATATGTATACCGAGCAAAATTGCTCGGGTACACCGTGGAACGTTAAAAACACCATCATGGAATTGACCGTGTGACGTCTTTGTGTATGCATCGTAGGAAGTGACGTTTTTGTTCAACAATTAAGCCTACCGAATCAGTATTTCGCTGCTCGAATGTTCATGACGATGGTCTAGTTCTTGCAATGCGGAATTATAGAGCGCGCTGTAGAACTTGAAAAAGAAAAGTGTCAGTTCCCAACGTAACAGCGACATTGTGAACGAGTTGAGTTTAGAGAGCAATCCCGTTGTCGTAGTTCGTGCACGTAGGCATGCATTAACACTTGGGATCTCGTAACTTTCGTCGAGCCATTGTTCTGCTGGTTCTTTGGACACAAGGTCCAGCGCGGACGAATGATCAATGCGCGAACAACGTAAATCTGCTGTGTAATGTTTTGTCAGGTGTTCCATTGTGACCGAACAATCTATTTTTTGGTAAGGAACAGGAAAATATATGGTCAATTATATTTTAAGGAATCTAGCCTTGATACAATGAATTATTGAGCGTGACGTGTGAATCGCGTTTGTTTGCCTTTCGTAACGAAGTAAATATCGACGATCCGAAAATAGGGAGATGAGTACGAGAAATAGAAACGTCGATAGTAAAAAGAATGCGACTTATGTACCTACATTCTATTACTCATTCGAGTGTTTTGTGCTTTACGATCTCTCGATACATATGTATGTATTTACATATATGACGTGCACTGTTTTACTTAACAGCATCATACGTGGCATATTTACAGATCGAAATAACTTCTGTTTGATTAAAAGATTTTCTTATATTTCTGCCTTGGTCGTAAAGGTTAATACTTATATTTTCTGTGATTGTTTCGTAATATTCAACGTTTCGTGTTCAGTGGTACAAGTCAGAATTTTCATTAAATCTATAGAAAACTTAACAAGAATGCGATCTGTCATTCCAGTAATTTGCATAATGTTAAACAAACATCCAACACTATACTGTGTATGTCGGTAATGGTTTTAAAGTTCGTTTTTTTTTTTAAAGTAATAATCAAGTACTAGTAAGCATTGAAAATTATCCGTAGCAACATATTCTTTCGGCTACCATTTTCTTGAATACGATCTTAAGAGACGTAGTTGTAATGTGTTACCGATACATTTAAATGACATCATAATTTTGAGATTTTTCATAAATTTATCGAATTATACCAATGAAAATGTCGCATTAAGTATCAGTTAACTGTTACAACATGTACAAATTTCAAATTGTTGTCGTTTAAAAAACTTAAGTGAGTAAAATTCAACCGTATCGCGACATTGTGTAATATCGAAAAGACGCCATCTTTACTATCGAGCTGCTATCTACCGATGATTTTGAGTCACTTCGATTGTGTCTCCATCTACTTCCTTTCGGATGAGATCCGTAAGAGACGCATGTTGGGTGCCCAGTGAAACGCGACAAAAGAAACGTTTATTGAAGATGTTTCTCGTCCGTTTTACCAATATTGCCACTAGCAATAAATACAAAAGCTGACGACGTGAAACATAATTGAAAAAAGTTGATCGGGCATCCAGCGTGCATTACCAAGAAACCACCGAGTGCTCGTTGGATAGTTGAGCATACATTCATATCTTATTGGATATTCAGCAGCGAGATCCATCCAGGTTTTAAGGTATTTATACTTGGCTGCATTTTCACCTACGATTCTCGTGTCCATTTCTCGTTCGATAGCCTAAAGTTTCGGGAATCGAATCTCGTATGTTTAGCGAAACCCCTCCGTGGCTTCGAAATCAGTTAAAATAACGCAGGTAGTGTAATTCGATCAACCGTAAGTTCAGCGAAGGTACAGTAAACGCATGTGCGTTGTAGTTCATGGAAGTATTCATGAAAAAATCAGTTCTTTTTGTTTTCAATATTCGGTTTGAAAAGTGATTACGTGTATATGTTGTGTTGTGAAGTGACGAAGAGGAATCGAAGAGATGTGCAACAACGGCCATGAAGCAGTCTAATTGCACGAAATAATTTGTCGTGTTTATTCACGCGTCAGTTACAAAGGTATACTTACGGTGTTACGCCTTTGTTCTGTATTGCGTAATGATACACGAAGACAGGACGTCAAATATAATAGTCAAGTTAATGTGTGACGTATTTCACTTTGTATTGTAATATATATGTACAGATTCCGTAATGTGTAATAATAAAATAATTTGTAGGGATTGACACATTCCTTCCTTTTGCGTACACGCATTGTATGTAACTCGTGCTTTTCATTATTCCTGTTATTGATTAGTTGTGAGGAGGGTATACGTGGTTCTGAACGTGTCGATACGAAAGTAATCTATAAATAACACAGATTAAATTGTTTGGTGTGAAAGATGAAGGATCAATATATGTATGTATATGTATATACTAATGTACATATTGTAGTTTTTGTCGGTACATACATATGTATATATATTTTTTATAATTGCAGTTTTTATCAACACACACACACGCGCGCGCGAGCGCGCGCGCGTCTGTCTTCATTACGACATATCCTTCCTGTATTATTACTCAATAATTTCACATTTTCAATAACAGACTGTATGGTAATCAATCAAAACAGTTTTGTTAATGTCAAGGTTTTACAGATTATATATACATAAATCGTCTTTGTAATTGTAGTTTTTATCAGTGCCTGTATATATATATAATACAGGAAGGATATGTCGTAATGAAGACAGACAAAGTTGCATGAATTTGAATAATTTGTAGTAAGTGTTGACTGAGATTTCAAGGTGACCTTCATTTATCACGTGATTCAGATTTTGAGTACCGATTGTTTCTTTCATCGTGAATGCTTAGAGAGTTAATTTTTCGCCAAAAAGATAGCCAATCAAGTGATGTGTAAACATCAATTGATGAAAGACGAGTCAAGGTCACACGAGCGCAATAGGAACGCGTAAGAAAATGTTGGTTAAAATTGTTTGATTAAGATTTGTGGTTTATTCCCTTTTGTACCATGGATGCTAGTGTGCCCACCGTGTTATATTGTAGACAGAACAAAATCGTTTAAAGATACAGAAGGTTACTTTGCCGTATAAATAAAGAGTAATCAGATAGAACAATTTTAAAAGTCAACAATAAAATACACGAAGAAGTGAGTAAAGATGACAAGTAGGATTTAGAAGAAAGAAGTATAAAGATTTTCTTCTCTCGACACAGGTGAACAATACACGAAAAACAAGATGGACGAGTACGACAAGAAGTTCGCCGAAATGCAAAAATATATTCCGTTTTTGGAAGCGATGATAGAGAGATTGCAAAACGTTAAGGACAAGTCACGGGAAGTACAGCTGCAGAAAATGCAAAGCCTTCACGGGATTCTGTCGAACAGCAAGAGAAAGTACGTTTCACAAATGTCCAGATATTTTCTCGTAAGACCGCTATTCGAGACTGTATATATAAGATCTCGAAAGAGATACATGTATGTTTTGCCGTCAATATAAGATAGCCATGCAATTTTAAAGTGGAATTTAAATTTTTACATTAAAACACGAGGAGCAATTAATGACGATGTCTTCTCAATAAAATAGGCTGAAGATCGAGACGTTGCAGCGATGCGAAGACGTTCTGCAGAAGTTGCACAACAAAGTAGAGAAGGTAGCTATAACACATAAAGTGCTTCTGCACTGTCATCGATGGTCTACTGAATTTGTTGGTTCTTTTTTTTCGTTGATTTAGCAAAATCAGTGGACCGTCTGTATTTGACAATATTTCGCTTCGCGCTGTCATTTAATTTAATGTACATTCAGTTCACGTATGAAAGATATAAACGAGAATTCTTACAAGTTGACTTATTCATTAGATAATTATCATCATTGGACGAGTAGTTAACGTTTGGATTTCAAATTTACTTGGTATTCTTAAGGAGGAGAAAAGAATTTTGAGACAGCTCTTTTATATCGTTTCATGGAAGGATTTCTCAACACTTGCTTATAGAACAGTTGTAATAGTTGCACTTCTACATGTATTATTTCTTTTTTGTAGACACTCTGTTCATGAACTTTTGCCGGATCTTCTTATTGCTCCGTGTATATTGTGTGTTTATAACTACACTCGAATGATTCTATTACGGCACTGTGGACGACAATATTATAGAAAATAAAGACAAATTATCTCATTAATTCTATAGGCACAGTTAGTGAATGCTTGTAGTCCAATAGATCTAAAGAAATTCTTTTCTTCTGTTTCACTCTTTACTTTACAAACGTAGCTGCTTTAGATTTCTTCTCAGTTTCCATTTCTTTTTATATTTTTGGTTGTTTACAGGCTTCCGTAGTGCATGTATGGTTTTTTTATTTTAATCATTCTAATCTGATACGAGTTTCAGGGAAATACGCCTGGATTGCATTTTCCGCACAAGAAAAACGAGGGGAGCTCGGCGCAAACTTCAACGTAAGTACCACGGCCCAGTATATGTTCGCTATTTATTTCTCGATTTATGGGAAGTATATTTATTTTTCCTCAATGAAATGAATGATGCAATGTACGACATATCAATACTACTAGGGTATTATAGAATTTTCTTTGTTATACTTGGATATTAAAGAAGACAACCGATTGATATATCGTGTTGTTATAATTTCGTATCTGATCCTAGCATCATTGCGGTAAAGTTATTACGGTGGGAGACAGTTGGACTTGACGAGGCGAAGGCGGCTTAATTCACGTCTTCGTCGAGTCAGATATTTCAAGTAGAATGAAGAAGACTGCTTGACCATCTATATACTGCATACAATGGAAATACTACTCTGTAAGTTAGAAGCATGATCAGAAATAACAGGAGAAGCGTAAATTGAGCTCTGTTTCACTCGTTTAGTCCGTCTCCGCCACATTCTTAATTTTTCTCTCGCATATAGATGTTGCCAAATGTATTGTTAATGCGAATGACCCTAAGAACTTAGTTGTCAGCAGCTTTTGGTCCCGTCTACAAGTCGAATCACTGGTTTTCAGCGCATCCGGAGATACGAGCGCTGGGCAAACCAGTATCGAGGTGAAATCCCAGCAAGTAGAAGAATCGATCGAGGACAAAGAGATCCACGAGACACCCGCCAGTCCGAGTCCTCCCGTTAGTCCTGACTCCGGTTCCCAAGTAGCGCCAATAATAATCCCTACTGAACGCAGCGTGGATTTTATCGATGACAGTAAACCTGCCAGTCCCGATCCGATCGAAACGTTACCGACGAAAGCTCCCATCATTATACCCACAGAACGGACGAGCAATGATCTCGGTTTATCTTCCAGTAGCCAGCGTGCCTCCGGCAAGAGTGCGGACGATGTTTCGTTTTCCGAGTGGGACATGCTCGAGGAAAACGAAACTCAGCACGCAAGAAATATAAGTTGGCCGCCCGTAGTTACTACTTCTAGCCACGATGTAAGCGCCACCATTAAGATGATTGGAAACAGCATGCCCCAGAAGGTGAACGATGGAAGACCCCATGCGTCAGTGTCATTGCATTCTTCGCGACATATACCGACGGTTCCGGTTCCCGCTTTGTGCGGTTCCAGGAGACTGACATCGATGCTAGAGAAGAACAGGATGGTTGGATTAGATGTTCAGGTGGAAACGAGGGCAGAGTCACCGGTGAACGTACCGGATGTCAGGCTTAAGTCCCCAGACCCCGACATCTTGTTCCCAAAACACAAGAACACGTCCCCGAGGCAGAAAGACGTAAGGCCTGCTTCGAAACCGGCGGCGCCGTTATTACTTTCTCCGCCTCCAGTTTCAACGGAACCTCCGCTCTCTATGGAGGACCTGGCGGAGTTGTTGAACGAAGAAAGCGACAACAAGGTAGAAAAGAAGGGTGATAGATCCAGGGACGAGACAAAATTTAAAAAGGATAAGCAGGAGTTAGCTGTAAGTAGTAAAGAATCAAAGTTGCCTAAGACTTTCGTGCCGACACACGAGGATATCGACAGCGACAGTGAAAGACGCTGGCAGGAGATAGATAAGCACATAGTTAAATTAACGACTAGGAAGTGTTTGCCGAACGTTCCCGCGACCATAAAGATTGAACCTTTAAAATCAAATGAAACAAAGGGACCGTTGGTTAGTTTAATGCACACTGTAGAAAAGTCGATGGACAATAGGAATCGACCGCCTTCTCCTGGCTCTAAAATTGAGCCACGTTATGCCGATAATTATGAAAGACATCCCCGTCAAATGCGCGACAATCATGGCCATGATAAAGACAAAGGTAATGTCCATATGCACTGTAGACCTGACGAGGATATGTCCAATCAGATTCCTATACTTCATTCAGGACCACCTAAACCCGATGACAGAAGTCTTCTAATGTACCAAAGGCGACAGAGTAGCGTTGGCCCGGAAATGGTACCGCCTAGAATAGAAACGGAGTTCAGAATCGATGGTCCAGACTACTTCAACAGACAGATGCCGAATCAGGGTCACTGGCCTCCCATGCATTCTTCTGTTAATACGAATGATTTTTGCAACAATCAGTGGCCTCCTCCAGCTTCTACCTTCAGCGGTATACCCAACAGCCCCGCGCAGCCCTATCAGCACCCTGCTGTGGGCATGCATCAGGAGATGTGGAACCCTCCACATGTGGTAGGCTCAACCAGAGACTCGATCCATGTCGACCCGCATCAAGTTAACGAAGGACAACATAGGCCCAATCTGTTCCCTCCGAATATGAACACCGGTATCAGGCCACTGATGAGCCCAAATACTAACCATATACCCCGACCCGACGACATGCCCAATGTCGATGTACCCAGCGTATCAACGATACCGCCTTTGATCTCTCCGACAAGATTTCCGGGTGGTCCGCCGTACAGAAACTTCCAGGGGGAGAACAGATCATTCGAACCGTCTTTCGACAGGGGAATGGTGGAGTACACGCATCAGAGGCAATCCTGGGAGCCTCAGAATAGTCGGCCAAACGAAGTGCCATATAGAGCAGAAAATGAAGGTCCCTGTGGGGTAAAAGGGCCTACGGATACCTCAGGGCCATATTCACGGCCAAGTACACCTAGCCCTTGGAGTCGGGACAGAGATCGTGGCGGAAGCAGAGGTCGTAGTAGTTATTACAATGAAAGAGGCAGAGGAGAACCCAGGAATACTTTCAAGTGGTCCAGAGACAATCACAATGAATGGGGTGACAATTGTAATCGTTTTCCCAGGGATAGTAGGAATATATCTGAACGTGATCCTAGGGTAAGACTGGAACACAGTACGATCAATCAAAGTTCGAGTCAACCGAGACCGGATAACTGCACTTCCGTCAGGGATCCTCGTTTGGCCAAAGAAAAGCATTTTCCCCCTAAAAACAAAGACATCAGTTTTAACGAAAGGGATCCGAGGAAACGGTCTACGGGGCCACCGTTTTCGGCGACGTTCCGAAAATCCAAGGATAAGACTAAATCTCTTAAACTGTCTGACAGTCACCGACGTCAAGACTCGGAGAGCAGCACGAAGACACACGAGAAAACGATCAAGGACAAGGTCCAGTCACCACTGGAAAGTCTTTACGGAGTCATCGACACAAAAGCAAAGTCTGCGCAAGGTTACTGTCTGCAGAACTTCAAGATTCCGAAAATCAAGCGTAACGAGTCATCGGAGTCACCCACGTCAAGCCATACCCCTGATGAGGCGAAGGCAGCTGAGTGTCCTCCGGTCGAGAAACAAGAAGAGAACGTTAAAGGAGAAAGGGAGAAAGACGACACTATTGCCGAAGTGAGCAGCAGCAGTGATGGAAACGTACAAGTGGAGAATTGGAACGAAGGTGGTAGCGGGGATGGTGGTGGTGGTGGTGGTGGTGGTGGTGTAGTGTCTGAGAAAAAAGAGGATTCAAAGGAAGAAAACCTCGTTGTCGAATCTGTAAAGGAGAAGAACGAACTGAACCGAAGTGAGCTTGATTCCATCAGCACCACGTCTTCTAAACAGATCGGAAATATCGAAAAACTTAAGAAGGATGATGTAGATCCGGAAGGGTCGAAGCCTAAGGAAGAGGTGACGCAAGAATGGATCGAAGCTCTGATCAGAAAGTCCTTTGAGTTCGGGGAGGGAAAGAAGTTTGTCGAGCAAGCGAAGTTCATGCAAAAGCTAGGGGAGGTATTGCAGGCGAAAAAACTGAAAAAGATTAAAAAAATCATCGAATCCGATTCGGAGAGCAGTAGCTCGGACAAGGAAGATACTCCGGAGACTAAGAAGATTCACGTGAGAAAGAAACGGCGAGTGATTGTGTCGGATAGTTCGGATGAAGAGTCTCTAGCTGAAAGGCTAGGTGTCTTGAGAACATCTAATGCAGAATCGATTGAAAATCCTTCTGAGGAGAATCTTGAGTCTAGTACAAGCACAGACATTAAAGAATCATCAGAGAAGTCAGATGGTTTGGAACCGAAAGAACTTGGAAGCGAAACGAAACAAGATGATATATCGACAGAGGCAGAGGATTTTTCGGAAAGTAAAACGAAGAATGAGAATCCTGAAGTTTCGAGCGTAGAAATGTCGGAACCGGAAGCGGGCACTAAAGAAGAATCCAAAAACGAGGAACCAATCGATGAGAACGGAAGTAAGACGCCCAAAGCAAAAGCAAAGAGGAGAAACTCCCTTGAGATGCTTCAGGAAGACATCAGGGAGATGTTTATCAGCGACGACGTTGTTGCAGCCACTGGACATCGATTATGTCGCGTACAAAAGGAGACTCAACAAGTTAGCGTAGCTACTTCTGTTCAGACTACCGTGACTGCCAAAAAAGACGAGCTAGCCAAGGAGGCGACTTCCGATAGTGAAGAGCCTTTGGTGCCTTCCTCGAAGTCCAAGAAGATCGTCAAGCCTCGACTCGCCGAGGACAGTAAGATACGGGGCAGGTCTAAAAGGGAAGCGCAACGAGTAACTCGTCAACGTTCCAAGCAGTACAATCATAGCTCAGACAGCGAGGAGGACCAACCGTTGGCCCTACGAACAGAACTTACTCAAAGCTCTAGCACGTTGTCCAATCAAGACGAGGAACCCGATGCGTTGCGACGAAGCAAACGTATAAATAACAAAGAAACTATTAAGGAACCACGTGTTGTTGTTGAAAAGACGGACATTTCCAAGTTGGACAGTGCGAAAGTGATGTTCGACAGTTCTTCCGATGAAAGTTTCGGCATTGATGTATCCGAACTGGCGGCGGCGGTGGACATCTCACTACACCCAGACAAGACAACCGAACCGGCGGAAGCAGCAGAGAAGAAAAAGCCTGCACAGAGCTCGTCGAAAAGAATCGCAAAGAAAAAGATCAATCCCGAGATAGTGAGTGAGAACAAAGACGACGTCCTGTCCGACGAAGAAAGTATTATTTCGGATGTCTCCGTGCCTAGTATCGTCGCTTCGGGTAAGAAAATAAATCATAGTTCAGCGAAAATTGATGGCAACACCAACGAGGAACTGTTGAGTAACATTCTGGTTGGGTTAGTACCTTCCAAGAGTGATTCTGGTAAAGAGGCTAGTATGCCGGACAAGGGAAGCGATGCGGATATTGATGAAGATGCGAACGATCCATTACTACCTACTGAACATCGTACTAGGAAGTCGTCGGTGAAGAAGAAGAAAAAGAAATTCAGTTGGCAGATGGGAATTCTGTCTAAAAAGAAAAAGAAGAAGTCGGCGGCGGCGGCAGCAGCAGCAGCAGCAGCAGCAGCAGCAGCAGCAGCTGATACATCGTGTTCATCGAAAGACACAGATCCTAATGTTAGTTCTGAAATAGAGACGTCCAAAAACATGGTCGATTCTTTGCTGACAGACGATAAAACAGGCGACGAGAGTAACGCATTGAATGATACTGGTCGACGAAGTGTTCCAGAGAAGCATGACGACAGCGTTGAAGAGGCAAACACCAGTGAAGCATGTCACACTATTCCGAATAATTCAAAAGCCGACGATTCTTTAGTTTCATGCGATACGAAAAATGACAATGATATTGCCGCGACTTCTGTTATGAAAGCTCCGCCGGCGGCTAAAGAGAACAGTACCGAACTCGTCGGCAACGAGGAGTCGCCGAAGGATACAAGTAAAAATAAGACACAAGTAGACAAAGCCTTCTATGATTTGGATATAAACAAATTAATTGATTACGCATGGACGGGACAAGAGAGGTACAAGTGTTTGCTTTGTTTCTTCACTGGTAAAAACATTGTTCATCATTACAAACTCAGTCACCCTGGGAAGGAGATTCTTATTTCAAGATTAAAGGTTGCGGATGCTCAGGTGGCAATACAGGACGCAAAGGACGATGATGTGGAAAACATGTCGTTGAAACCGCTTGCAGAAGAAGCTGTCAAGTTCAATTGCAGGTTTTGTTCCTTTTGTACAGAAGGCGCTGCAAAGGTGGCGTTGGAGGCGTTTTATGAACATTGCACCACTCACACCGGAGAGTACCGATTTAGATGCAACAGCTGTCCCTATCAGGCTGTAGCCAAGTCCTCAATGAGAACACATTACTATAAAGTGTGTAGGAAGTTTAAGGATACATTTACCGAAGCCACGGCCGAAGACGAAGTACCCGACGAGAATCGCGTTTATGGCTATTTATGTTCAAATTGTAATTATATTCAGCTGAAGAAGGCCAACCTAGAGGAGCATATTCAGTTATGGCACAAAGATAATTCCGAGGCTAATATCATAAAAGTAAATATGTCACGTGGCTCTATTAAGATAGAACCTGTTGAGGTCATGGTTAGTAGAAGGGTGAAAACAGAAGTCTCTCAGTCAAGTTCAGAAGTCCTTGAACGATCACGGAATGATACTGTAACGTCTGATGAACATGACGATGTTAGTATAACCGTGGTAGAATCAGGTAATAAGAGTGACTCTTGTGACGGCGAAGATAAGCAAGTAAAAGATGTGGCGGAGAAGGAGCCGCAAAACGAAAAAGACCAGTCTTCAGAGGTACTTCTTGAGAACAGCGAGGAGGAGACAAAGAAGAAGAAGAAGAAAAAGAAGAAATTACCTACTTCGGAGGCAGATTCCAGTCTACCAACAGGAAATTTAAGCGTGTTTGTTTGTCCACCAGAATTGGAGAAGAAAGAAGTAGAGATACAATTGGAAAGGAAAAGAAAAATGCAGGAGATCATTCAAAACATTGGTATTAAACTGCAAAAGGATTCATCCAAGAAGGGTCTTTCTATCATAGATAAACTGAAAGATAAGATGAAGACTTTGATAGTAGCTAGCAATGAGCAAGACTCCAATGTGATTGCTGATCCTCTCGGTAACGTTATTACTCCTTCGACAACGATACCAACTTCTATGCTTGGAATAGAAGAAACGGAAAGAAATTTGTCTTCCTTTGAAGATGCCTCAAATGGAAAGCTGTCTGACAATTCTGTTTTAAAACCAGAGACACTAAATGCAGAGAGTAATTCGCAACCTGCATCTGAGGTGGATCAAACTGATGTAAAGGTCAGAGACCCGTTGACAACATTGGAACAAAAGAAAAACGATGAGACTGATGCAGAGACCAGCGATACCGAAAATGTAAGAGATTCTGCTCCTATTTACGAGTCTGATTCCAGTAGTGAACAATCAGACACGGAACCACCGACCGATGTAAACATGATCTTAAAAGAGACTTCGAATATTAATGCCTCTTCTAAGGATCCAATGCTGACAACTATTCAAAGGCTTGCCGCTCAGCTCCAAGCTACAAAGCCAATCGAAGCATGCAACGACGAGAATTCCTCTAAACCTGTAGAAGCTACCGAGAAAGAGTTTCCATGCAGTTTCATTCCAAAACCACCTGAAGTGGTACCTATAGCTAGTATCAAGAGATTTATTGGAAAATTGAAAAACAGTTTACATGAAATATCATCAGAAATGAGCGATAATGTCAGTCAACCTAAGAACTTCATCAGGCCAAGACGCTTGAGTGGTGATATGCTGTCGGCATCAACTTCGGATGTTTTGGAAGATGTAGTCTCAGCGAAACCTAGTATGTATAAACAAAAGTTTAACAATTCCTTAAACATATTACTGAAATTGCACACAGTTTCTTAAAAATGTTCGAAATTAATAATTTCACGGGTATTTAAGTATGTAACTCGAATGAAAGTAGCTTGAATATTTTTAAACATTTTCATTATTATGCTCCTAATTGTTCGGTAAGGTACTAGGTAGTGTACATTATTTTATCCGATAGATACACTTACTACACCGGATAAGATGGACAGTTTATTAAAGGCGGATGGAGAAGAAGAGTGTTCATTTTTAAAAATTGAAAATGTAGTCAGCCTTGCACCAAGTGTCGACAGCGATGGTACTGAAAGTCCGATTGTAAGTCATTGATCGCCAAGTGAAATTTTCCGTTGCATTGCGTTGCATTGCATCCTTTACTTGTTTATTTTAGATCACTGACATCAGAAAAGCAGTCGAAACTTCTCCCGTAAAAAGTAAGGGTGTGTCTGTACTGAAGAAATCTAACGCACCCCTCATTTTAAAGAGATTTAATACTGCAACGATAGCACAACCATTAACAAAGAATATTCAAACAATGCAATCCGCTACTTCATCGGATACCGTGAAATTGATTTCAGTAAAAAGTCTGTCACCGTCACCAGTGTCTGTAACCACCACGCAGCTAACAACAAGTTTTATTCCGATCGCTCCAAAGTCGAAAATTATACAGGTTGACAATAATACATTATCGTTCCCGCTTTCTGTAAATAAAAGTACAGTAGTGACACCAGTAACTACACGTACTGTGACTGTTGCGGGATCACCGCAGTCGTCGAATGTGAATTACAAAATCGTGAAAGTGGTTCGAACGCCCACTGTTCTGAAACCCAGAGACCCTGTCTCGCCATCCGCTGCGATCAAATTAAAATCCGTTGATGCTTACAACGCAATGTTGACAACAGTGAAACTGACTCACTTGTACAAATGTATGGGACGCGATTGTCACTTTACGACTGATTTGGTAGAGCAGTATCAGCAACATTACTCGCAGCATGCAGAGGAGAATGAAAAGAAAAGGCCACCATACGATTATCAAAAATGTGCTTACTGTTACATGGCATTGGAGGATTGGAATCAGATGAAAACGCACATAGAAGAGAAACATGCACACTGTCGTTACCAGTGCAGTTACTGCTTTTACAGAGCCGTTGTGCCTACTTATGTACGGATTCATCAGGTATAAGAATTTACATTTCTTCATTGTTACGCCTATTTTCTTCGATTAACATATTTCGAACTCTTATTTTATCTTCAGGCAACTGCTCATCCTGGCCTGAAAGGGATTTTAATTGGTAAATTGGTGAAGGAAGTGCCATTAACAGAGGAAGTGAATAGAAATGATTATATACATCCTTATGTATGCCAGCATGGTATGATCATTCGAATAAAAATTATGTACGATTCCTATATTTGAAAACTCGGATATTTAATAACTGTAGTGCGCTGTAAACTGTATTTACAGATTGCGGTAAATTCTTCTACGTACCTGAGGCATTTTCGGGACACTTGAAAAACAAACATGACCCATGTTTACTACTGTCCAATTGGAAGTGTCATGTGTGTCGTGTTACGTGTACAAAAATAGAACAACTGCTAATGGTAAATAGTTCGCGAATTATCTGTGAATGATATTTGAAGCACTTTAGTTACTTTTACATGAGCAAATGATTTTTATAGCACTATAAGGTCCATGGGTTTTACAAGTATCAATGTGTCTATTGCATAAGCGGTGCAGATACTTTCAACGATGTACACACTCATTTAAGCATGTTCCATTGCAATCGCTTACCTCAAGTTTTAGAAAGATCACTTCCTCCTCAGGTAGGGTAAATTTTACCGAATAATCTTTAAAAGTGATCATTATTATTATTTTACATTTCACATTTCACATTTTAGCCGGTGCGGAACAAAGATGTAATAGATCAACTGATTCTAAACACACAGAAGATCACCGAAGAGATAATCGAGTTAGGTGGTAATGGAAAAAACAATAAAGACTCGGTTATAATAGACATAGCAAACGCATTTCCTAGTCATAAGAGATCTTACTCTCAGTTGCCCAAGGAGATCAATATGCTGGACAAGAATGAAAACCAAGCGCTAAATAAGTCGTTGTCAACTTTGTTTGGACCTAACAGCAATCCTAGTAGCACTTTCTCTCAGCAAGAGAAAACGTCGATGAACAGTAGCTGCGACGAGAGCACACGAATGAAATCGTTTGAAAGCATAAAACATGCTTCTCCTGATATAAGTTTATTGGATACTACACCTCAAATGACAAACATCTTTTCTAGTAAGAATACTATAAAGGATCTTCTATCGGTAAACATCGACTGCAGCGATGAATTTATAAATATTAATTTACTCGATAATCCTGATTTTTTGAAAAATGTTAGCAATCATTCCAGTCACGTATCTCTTCTCACTAACAGTACTACAAATGAAAGTAAAGCGGATGATAGTGATATTGAAATTTTGGATATCGTTGATGCACAGACCGCTTTATCAAAAGATGATAAAAGTACATCCGATCTGAATAAAAAGGAGACCCCTAGCACGACTGAAAAACCGAAAGTAGTAGATAGTCCCAACCAAGAAACTGAGACGAAGGAGCAGTTGTCAAGTGATTTGGAAAATTCAAGCACATCCACCGATATTACGGATGCTTTGAACTGCACAACGTCAAAATCAATCAATAAACCGTTGACGCTGGAGGATATCAAAGACACTGGTTTCACTGGGACAAAGTTATATAGGTGTGGCTATGAATTCTGCGACTACGGAGCACAGACTGCAGCCATTTTAAGAACTCACACAAAGGAATGTCCTCAACGTGGTGAAAATAAAAACTTGAATTGTGCCCACTGTAACAAGCGGTTTATTAAGATTGGATTTTTATTGGAACATTTGAAGGTACATGGACTAAAACGCTTTGGTTGTTCTTTGTGCAAAATGAGATGCACAGTGGGCTATCAGGCCGTAGCACATATGAAAGCAAAGCATAAATACGGTAGTAGTAAATTGGTGCCAGCTGATCCAACGAATCCATCAGTTGATGGTTTGTTTATTGTACAGCCTGTTGTAAGTATATTATCCTGTAATGAAACTAGTTGATGTATATACTTAACATATTTTTGTATTTTATATATATATATGTCTGTCTCTGTGTAGAATCAAAGCGGGGATAGAAAATGCAAGAAACGTAAAAGCACAAAATCTGTAGAAAGAGAAAACGACAAAGCGAATGACATTGAAATATTATCCTTTAGCCCCGATGAAATAGAATCTTTACCACGTCAGGCTATATACAATCGTGAGGTACGATGCGCCGTGTGTCCGTTTACAACGAAAGTTCGGACAAATATTATCCGACACTTACTGTTGCACGCAAAAGATGAAAGTGTACCAGAGAGCGGTCCTGTTAATCCTGTGCCTTGTTTGGACAAGAAAGAGCGAATGTTTGATAAAATGGTAAATTTAGCCAGCAGTTCCCATCAGAATGGACGAATGGGGGGAAAACCGAAGGAAACTAGTAAAGATATCGAGGATGAATTTATTCCCAAGTTCGTGCCAGAACATAAAAGGCAAGTTGCGTTTCTCTTTAGAAATCGTGGTTCTTTATGCAGTGAACGTTCTTGCAGAAAGAAGCGTAACACGTCCGATGTACACCGCGGAATTGCGCGTTATTATTTGATTTAATATCATTGGCGATATTTTCCTTGCTACAGATACGTGTGTGGTGTAGCAGAATGTAATTACTTAACGGTTGACGAGGCTATGTTAAGGTGCCATTTGAAAGCTTTGCATTCCGAAGAGCAATATTTTCGATGTCCCCACTGTCCACAACCACCGCCAGGTCAAGAAGGGTTGAATATAGCTATCGATAAAATGGCTGTTCATTTGAAAATGCACGATACCAGACTTTATAAATGTTCTCACTGCAATTACCATCATTACCACAGGTATTCGATACGATTGAATTGCAAATCTGGAACCAAGTCTATTTTAGTTAACTGTACGATGCGTACGCGTGTTTTCCGATATTTTCAAACATTTGACAAGCATGAAAATTAACGTTTCAATGTCAATAAACACACGCTTGTCAAATGTTTATATAAGATTTTCTGTATCTTTCGTTCATTTTCTATGCTGTTTAAAAGTGATAAATTGTCGACCAGGCATGTCGTGGAGAGACACCTCTCGGACAAACATCCGGAGAAACGGCCTTTCGTTAAAGTGATCAGAGAGTTGGAAAACACGGAGAACAATCAGTCTGCGCAAGAGGAAATTGAAGAAGAAGTACCCGATCCGGACGGAAACCACTGGAAGTGCAATGTTTGCGATTACAAGTGTGTGTACAAAGCAGAAATGGGGACTCATGCTTCAACAGTCCACGACGAGAAGTGTCAATACAAATGTACTTCGTGTCCGTTTAAGACGAGCGGAAAAATCATGTTTGAACAACACATTAGTAGCAAACACTTTAATGAACCGAATGTTGACTATATCATGGTATATCAGAGAATAAAGGGCGTGAACAAAAAGAGTGGAGATAACATTGAACAAAGCGGACAAGAAGAACCATTTGACACTACACCGCTTTGGAGGAGAGATATGCCCAGAATTAGACACATACGAGGAATCCTCTTGGAAGAGGAGGACGGAGCATCGACAGAGCCTTCGTTGAAAGCAGGGAAAAGAAAGAGCGATGCGGAACTGCAACCTTCGAAACCAGCCAAAATAAAACCGGGTAAATCAAATTCTCTGGATGACGCTAAACTGACGAAAGAAAAGTCTAAAAGATCAGTGTCATGTGACAAGGTACCGTCAGAATCAGAACGGTCCAGTGAAGCTACCAACGTGACAGATAAAACAATAGAAACAAAGATTAAAACGGTAGACGACAATGACTCAAGCGAATCGGATGTTGGCAGATTTGGTCCATACGGTAAACCCAATGGTATTATGTATGTCTGTACTTTGTGTACACAATTTAAAACGAAGTACAAGCACGATATGAGGGATCATCTTTATAGAGAACTGAATTACGCGAGGTATGTATTTTTGCGGTTTAACTCGATTGATTTAGGCAAGCACCACATCTTGTCATTATGAAGCTTACGTTATAGGTGGCATTGCAAAGAATGCGGATATTTGTCGGTAAATCGTAATGCATTGTTCAAGCACTTCACAAAACACCACAATGGGGAGCGTCCTAATCATGAACCATTGTCACCAGATAATGATATTGAAGAGTGGGTATGTACAATGCGTATAGATTGAATCGTTTCGATTAAAGAAATCACAGACAATATCAATTTCTAACTGACACTACCAATCGCAGGTTGGCACGTTATTGGCAAGGCAGACAATTATCATAAAGGGAGTCTTATCTAAGCAAAACACAGGAAGTGCCAATACTGGAAATAATTCTAAAGTATCTACTGTTAAGGTTGCACAAAATTCGCCTACTAAAAGTTCGAAAGGTGCAAATGTCGTAGATAAATCGAATTCGCAGGACAGTAAAAAACAAAGGCCTGTGGTTCATACAGATACGTTAGATGACAGTAGTAAAGATAATGAAGGTCTTATTATGGATGAAAGTCCAGTAAAGAATGAGAAAAGTGGAAATGCGACAGACGCTGATACGGGTAAAAGCTGCGAATACTTCTGGAATATTTGAACAAGTTGAATGATGTTTTTGAATCAATGATTACATTAATTTTTCGTTTAGGTGCAGATGTAGAGGATCGAGTGAAACCCTTAGTCTGCAAACACTGCAAAATGACGTTCACACGCTGGCGTGGTTTTAAATTGCATGTGCAATTGACCCACTTGAAACGGCTGGGGTTTGTGTGTTCTTACTGTGACCGTAGTACCAATTCGGAAACGTTGATGCGTACGCATATACGTTCCAAACACCCCGGTTGCCCGGAGAAGATTGTTCAAAATCCAGACGCTGGTGGGCCAGAATTAACAGAGGAATTTTGGCGGAAGGAGTACGGATTGGTTTTTCCAAAACGGTCCAAGAAGCGTAAAAGAAAACTGAGCGAGGAGAACGTGGAAAATGAGTGTCACGAACAATCCGAGAACCAAGAGAAGTGCAATCTGTGTGGCTTCACCGGCGTTAATGTGGTAGGTCTCAAAGGGCACATGAGAGTCCATGCCTCATCATTGAAGAAACCGTTGAAATGCTCCTATTGTACCTTCATTCCTGCGAATAAAGCCGAGCTTTGGAATCATTGGGAAATCCATCATCCGTTGAAAGATGATGATGTAGCGGGATTGGAGTCGTCCAGTGAATCAGGAAGCATACACCACTTCGATAAGAAAACTCATATAGATGATTATAGTGATGACATAGAGGAGGAGCAGCTTCCCGACGCGAAAGATGATGAACAGATTTACTGCTGCTTCTACTGTTCCTTCCGTAGCAAGTCTTTGGATACAGTACAGAGTCACTGGACTGCTATACACAAGGAATCGAACGAATCGTCCAAACTGAAGACAAATTATCCATTTAGGTACAACGAAATGCATACCTTGGAGAGGTCAACCATGAAAGCTGAGTGTTCTAAAGCAGATGCAGGGTCCCCTTATGGGCTGTATTTACAGCAGTCGCATGATGACATGCAAATGGTAGAAGCATCTGGAACGAAACAGGAAGGTTGGATCTGTCAGTGGTGCAACGAACTATGCGACTCAGAGGTGAAAATAAAGACTCACCACAGCATGTTCCATTCTCATTTGCCATTAAACTTCAAGAAACAGGAGAAAAATAAAGCACCTAGAGGATACGTGTGTCCTGAGTGCTCGTTTACAACCACTTTCATTAATGTTATGAAGAACCACATCTCGAAGCATATAAATCTGTTCAAGTGTAAATACTGCGACAAAACCTACAGTTCTCCGACCCAAGTGTCTGCACACAACGCTGAAGACCATTCTGGAATGGAAGTAAAGATAGAGAGTATAGACAATTACGAGTTGCTGCTGGAGAAAATGATGGCGAATGTTAAATGGCAGAAGTCTGGTAACGATCTTGTCGACACTGACCGAAACGATATTGTAATAAAGCAACCAAAGAATCATGCGGTAGCCAAGAAGTCTACAGCAAAGCCTACTGTTCGACCAAATTTGATTTCGTACAAGGTGAAAGCGGTCGCAAGGAAAAGTACCAATCCGTATTCACGATACCTTTCGTATCCTCAGATCAACGACGATCAACAGTCATCGAAAAGCAAACAGTTCTCGTTTTACGGCATCCCTAGGAGTCCCGTCAATCTGGCGGCGTTAAGTACATACATGGTAGTGGGTGGTCATCGAATGAAGGTAAACTGTACCACCCTCTCACAATTGATAAACATTGATCCGAAGGTAATATTAACAGATCTTAAACATAATGCAACAGACGCGGGGACACTTAAAAAGTTGAAATAATTTATGGATACATGGTAAAACTAACTTAATTTGATGGCAAAAATGTGAACAAATGATTTGAGTTTCACTTAAAATTGAAATAATATACAACAGAAATATTTATTCCCTGACCATTACACGTATAATGGTTAAAAAATAACCAAAGCAACGTATGGTATTATATGCTTTTTTTTATGACAGTATATGAATTTTTATAAAATTCATAAATGGTACCGTATTTTAACGGAGATACATGTAGGCATCGCTCATTTATTGGATCGACTGGTAAATACTTTGTTTTTCTTTTTTCAATTTGTATTGACCTAAAATACTTTTCAATTAACATTAATATGTTATGTACATTCTTTATTATTATTATTACTATTTTAATGATCAGTTTCTTTTTGAAAGTGAAAACCTTTCGTGGCAAAAATTATCCAAAACTCATCTCAACAGATTGTTTAAGGTACACATAGGACTGTTCCTTGAAATTCATGCTTACTTGAAAATTGGAGTAATTTAGTAGCTCAGTTATGTTATTCGAAAATGAACTTGCCACACATAATACACGTTACGTATCATTATTAGTGACGTGTATTGTACCACTATACACGTGTGTTTGCGTGCGTGTGTGTGTGTGTGTATATATATATATAAATATATATATTTATATATATATATATATAAATAAACTGCAACAAATTCTTTACCAATACACAACAGTAAATTTTATTAACAAAAGAGGTAAGTGATAATTAAAATCCGATCGAAATCACGGTGATTGTAATATGAAAATTGTAAATATCTCTAAGAACAGTAAGATCAATTAGATGATCCGCAGAGACAAATACCAAATTTATTTATTTTGGAATATGTGAAATTTCGTGGTATATAGATTTATCTTATTTTACCAATATTGACATGTAATAAGTATTACTTTTGAATAAGTACTTAACGATAAAGAACACTGTAGAGTTACATCAAAGTCGTTTAATTTATTAGATCATTTAAATGAGAACAAATCTTTTCATGTCATCTCAAAATAATCAATTTTATGAGGCAGAAAGCTTCGTAGAAATAACTGTATGACGTCTGTGATTTAAATGTTAACGTGTAAAGTTCAGTATTTATCGATGTTAATCAACCATTGGTTATCATAACATAATACATAGCCATATTGCAACATTATAAAATGTTGGCAATATAGCTAAATATATGTAAACTTTAACCGTAATAAATATGTACATATATTTTCATTCATCATAATCAAATAGTATGAAATGATGGTTGAAAATATATCATGGGTTTATCTACACTACATCGATAAGCATGAAACTCGCGTGTTAACACTTATATCGTGTGGAATGGCGTGACGCAACGCAAAATTTATTTTTCGTCGTATAATTTCCACCTTTAATTCTTGGTATATCAAGTGTAGTACGAGGTGGTGAACAGATAAAAGTAAAGACTGAAGAGCGAAACTATGCTAGTTTGTAGAAAATTGTAAATATGGTGTAACATAAAATTTCACATAAATATTTTTGATTTTTATAACAAAACTGGTCGTCATTTCTGATTGTAATTCATCGTGGCAGTCCCATTAAATTAAAACGTTTAATGGAAAACAAACATCTATATAAATAATTATTTTAACTTTTTTATTTAAGTAATTGTACAAAGTTTACGTACGAGGTGAATGATCTCTCATGCTTACAAATTGAGTTTCTAGTTATTAGCAGGAAATTTGAACGATTAATAAGAAATAAATACCCACCATTTTTCAGTTCCTTAATGTAAAAGTTGCTCTTTATTCGTTATTCGGTGCAATTTGTTTATGTTATTCGAAAGCATACAAAAACGTAAGGATGCGTGACAATTAAATTAACTTTTAGTTTCGAAGAATGTATTTTCAATTGATTAATTCTTAACGCCATCTTATCCTTTTAAAGATGACAACCCTGCTCTCATTATTTCGTCAACTAGAAGTAGGTTACTGGCAATGATTGTGCTACAAATAAAAGATCAGTATTGCAGTATAGAGGTATAAGATAAATAATACAAATTATCTAATTAATTTTACTGAACTTACCACGAATTAATGATTTGTTTCTTTACATTATAATTGTCATAAATCCCCGCATCAGCGGGTTTCAACGCTTCACCTGTGGCAATATCTAATCCTACAGCCTCACCCAATGCAGTTCCTTCTTCCAGCAATTTCACGATTGTGTCTTGTGCATCAAATCCGCTATTTACAGCTAAATATATAAGATAAATTTTTGCTAGTAGTTTTATCGGTAGAAATGGTCGATCCGACATCTTAAAATTGGATAAAATTTTTGTAAACGAAATTGTGCTATGACCAAATTTTATGCAATTTAACTCAAGTTTCATCCAACTCTAAAATATTAGTTCAACGCGTCCGTGTTAAAGTACTCGTCTAAAACATTACCAAGAATTTTTGGAATGACAAGTAATGCTTCCGCGTAAGCTTGTACGCCCAAGCGCTGTTTTCCTTTTACTTGTTCTTTGTACCGTTGAAGCGCCTGGCTGGCTGCAACCTCGAAAGAACCAGCACCGGGAATAACAGCGCGGTCGTCAATGGCATTCTTGATAGCTCTCAGACCATCTCTGACGGCGTCTTTCAATTGTTCGAGAGTATACTTATTTGGACCCTAATAATTTTCACGACAATTTTAGAAATATACGTCGCTTCAGCCACTTAGAAAGCATAATCTTAATGTAGCTCTTTACCTTTAACAGTATTGTCACAGAGTTTGGTTTCTTACATTCTTCTATGAAGGTGTATTTAGTTTCTCCCTGAAAAAGGTAGCCATGTATCATCGTTTATTCAAGAGGTAATCAATTGACCCTATATTATTTTCATGATACATACCAACACGTGCTCATATACGAGTCCAGCCCATCCCAAATGTTCTTCGTGTATATCATCTATCGAATTCATTGCTGTTCCTCCACAGGCCAATGCTAATCGTTCCATGTTTCTGCGTTTCGCCCTGCGAAGAGCTAAAATGTTTTCTCTAGCAAGCATGTCCAAAGATGGTGGGTCGATTCCTTTTTGATTTATAACAACAAAAGATTTGTCAGTTCCATCACACAATTTCTTCTTTAATTCGATAATTTTCTTCACGCGATTATCTATGAATACGCGTTCTGCCGCAACCAGTTTCTCACGTTCCTCTGCTGTTTTGTAAAAGAAACCACTGTTTACCTGCAACATAAACATAATTTTGCAGTGACCTATTATACAAAAACATAAAACATTGACTCATATTGATATTTACCTCACTTTTCTCATATTCCAGACTAACATTACATGTCAGGATATATGCATTTTCGACTCTTTTAGGCATATCTGGATGTCTGGATCCATGATCAGTCACAATACCACGAACTAAAGTGGTATCTGCTGCAGTCCTATGTTGCATCTCCATCAGTTCAACCATATGTAAATCGATATCTTGATCTTTTTGCTGAATAGCTAACACTGCATCCACACAGATTTCAGTAAGCTTATCAGCAATGCTAGGATGAACTTTAGTTCTAAGGGATGTTCTGGCAACATCCATTAGGCCTTCCTTTGTAGGCTCAATGGGAATCTTCATGGAGTCTAATACCTCCAAGGTTTTGATTCTAGCCAACTCAAAACCTTCAGTAAGCTTTCTAGGATGAAGTCCCTCAGATATGTAGATATCTGCTTGTTTGAGAAGCTCTCCAATGACCAACACAGTACTGGTTGTACCATCCCCTGTGATATCATCTTGAGCAGTAGATGCACGGGCAATGAGGGATGCTGTTGGATGTTGTATTTGCATTTCATGTAATAAAACATTTCCATCTTTTGTAATTTTTATATCACCTGCCCCAGACACCAACCTTTGATACAAAATTGAAATTTTACATACGTACAATGAAATAACATTACAAATCATTTAGTTTACTTTTAGCTCAGCCTGTATGAAATGATCAAGATACTACTAAAATGATTGATATATGGTTATAAATAAAACAGTGTTAGAAATTTTCCTGTGTGGAAACATTCATATATATTAGATATTAATGATTTTATTAATGACATTTAAATAATATTATTAAAAGGAATA